TTGCAGAGTTTAGGTTATATGGTCAAATAAAATGTCATTGGGATTTCAGAACAAGAAGAATGTAGTCTATGAAGTGCCGAGTGGAAATCAAACCAAACAAAATGCTTGAAAGGAATGGGAAGTGGTTGTGTGTAGTGTGATCCTACACATGGTTGCCTGGAAGTTAAGTCTCGCTGTATTCAGTGAAATTTACCTTCACCCAGTTGTACTCTAAATATTTCAGGGATGAAGCAGGAAAGCATCACAGAGGTTTTTTATGCTGGGAAATTACTCGGCCATAAATGAAGGTTCCTTGACCTGGGTTGTTGGGGGAAGAAACAGCCTTGAATGTCTGTTCTAAAGTATCTGATCATAATGCAGGGAAACTTCCAGTAGGATTTCAGTTAAGTTAGTTATAACAAACCGGTCCCATCGGCTGAGAAGTATTTGCACACATTTTTACTATACAGAATCCTTAAAAAATGAAAGCAGGAGGCACACATCACAGGAAGAAGACTGAGTGTAGGTTTGGGATTGTCCTTCTGGACAGTGAACACTATTGAACAGGTGTATTTACATCTGAGTAGGCATGCATAGGATTGCTATGTCAATGTACTGCATGTGTGACTCTGGCTCTGAAAGCAAATGCTTCATGCAGCTGTTCCTCTTGAGGCATGTGGCAACAGAGTGAAATCAGAAGTAATTGATGAGGGCAGAGGATTTTTATGCATTTCTTTTGAATGCCCGAACTTGCTGGACTCCAGGTGCTGATTCCATGGCTTATACAATGGAGCCAACACCAGGCAAGAGGTGGGCATTGCTTCCAGGTTTGCAGACTTCCTGCAGTTGTCTGCTGTATTTGCACATTTCACTTTGCTATCCCATTGTTCCTGGAAGCCTCTCTTGATGAGTAAACAATAGTCAGAGAAGTAGTCATCTGAGAATGCAGGCACTATAGCTGTCCAGTTCCCCCAATCTGGCCCCGAAACTGGGGGAAATCAGCCTTCAGCTGGTGCACACAACTCCTCTCCCAGAGCAGCCAATAGGTGAGAAATGGCAAGGGGTTTGTGGGGAGGAGTAGAAAATGCCATTCCTATCTATTTTCAACTCACCCACCATTAGGCTGGCTCCACCCACCACTGGGTCCATTGTTCGAATCCTTATCAGAGGATTACATATTCCATGGACAAGCCAAGCCAAAGATCACAAACAATGTTCAAGCTTTTGAAATCTCCAGATCTGTTAATCAAGCAAGTTATTATCAAAAGCAGATAGAGGAAAGAGGAAGAGAATATGGCTGACTTGATGGTGAGGCTAAGCTGTCTGCATGAAGACAGTCCTAAAATGGGATAAGAAAGTGTTCAGATAAGGCTGTAGGTGGGTGGATGGTTTTAGGTTTTACCCAAAGCTGTTGCAACATTGTTGTCCACTTAGTGTATATATATCCCAGCTGAAGATAACACTTGGGTCCCACTCACATGCAAGGAGAAGCCTCTATGGATATTTTTTTCCCCCTTCAAAAAATCTCCTTGTTTGGCAACAGCCATTCTGAATACTTGGTTTGGGGCGAGAGCAGGGGGCATGAAGGCTTCTTATTATGTGCAAACCCAATTAAGCCATGTTAGTGAGGCAGCTGGCAAGCCACCCAACCCCTTGGGCTGTTTTATGTTTGCAGCAACCCACCCTTGTCAGGCTTGGACATAACAAGCAAAGCCTGCCCCCGCACCCCCCCCCCCCCCCCCCCCCCCCCCCCAAAAGGCCCCCAACTACAAAAAAACCCCCCCCCCCCCCCCCCCCCCCCCCATCTCCTGACCATTCAAGATGGCTGCTGCTTCAGCAAAAACCCTTCACCCGATTCACCCACCAGGCTTCTCTTTACATGAGATCCAAATCTTCCTGTGGACTCTAGGCCATGAAAGCTGCCATAATAAAAGTGTAATCTTTAAGAAGCATCAATTTTTTCTGTCTTTTCACCTTTTATGAGCCAATAAAATTCTTGATCAGCAAAACACAGGAGAACTCGTTTACCCTGCTTCTCTGGAGGTATTTATTACTGTTGTGACTTCTTACAATGGCAGAGAAGAAGCAGCTCCATCAACGTTTCATCTGCTGTTAAATTGAGCTAGTTTAACTTTTTAGTAAGGTGTTTGTTTTTGAATGAAGTTGAGGGTGATGTTACCAATTCCATTTTTATCTTACCCTTTATCCATGGAATTCCTTTGAGGCTCAGGTCTTCCCAGTCCTAATCTGATCAGTACATGTTGAAGTGAGGTGCTTGCCACAACCTTTCCAGTAATGACACTCCCAGAGAGAAACAGGGAAGCCTGCGGGGGTGGAGACAACATCACCCCGCTGGACAAAAAGTCCAGCCTTGTTAGTCCTTGTGGCCCCTGCCTGTGGGACTTTCACATCCGCCCGTCCCTGGCTCTCCACTGTCTTCTAACCACAAAGCTTGCAATTTGCGGAACAAAACACCATGCAGGCAACTTTCAACAGTTGCTTTCACTTTCTTTTAAGCATCTATTTATGTCAACAGTATCTTGGGTGAGCTGCCCAACTGAATATATTTTAACATTGTTTCACCTGTCCTCCCTTATTATCTGTAGGAGCCTGATCAACCAAGCACTTGTCAGATACTTGTCTGACTTGACTTGGGTTCAGAAGATGCTCATTCACTGCCTGTTTCTCTCCCATCTGGCTTACAGAAGTCAAATAAATAAGGAAATCAGTAATGCTGAGTCAGTCCTAAAGCAGAGTCCCATGGAGTTCAAATATCTATTAGGTGAAGATTGAATAATGGACCAAGAATACTTTCTTGATTCTCTCTCTCTCTGCATGAGTATCAATCACCTGCATCTCTTTCACTGATAATGGCTACAGTCTATTTTACATAAAGTGGATTCTGGCTTCAGAGTAGATCTTGGACCATGTCAAGCAACTGCTTTCTGAGACTGGGGAAATGGCCCTCTGGGAAGGGAGGAAAGAGACAGTAGAACTGCAGTTTTCAATTGTTGGAGGCCACCAAAGGCTGAGAGAGGAACATACAACGTTTGGTCCTGGGGGTCAAATCCAGCTAGTGTTCTAATCCAGACCTGTGGGTTTTCCTCCAAGTGACCTTAGCTCCTTTCTGCCAGCCACCAATCTATTGGTGGTTTCCCAGCTTTTGTGCATTTTCTCACCCCTCACAGCCTGTCTCATCCTGAGGCCTAGTTACTGCCAGGAACAGCTTTAAGTTAAAATAGGCTGGCATTTTAGGGTCTACCCAGCACTGGAATGTGGCCCTAAGGAGTTTCTAAAAGATGGATTTGGCCATCAGGCTAAAAAGGCTCTGCCTAGGAGGATGGGGGGGGGGGGGCAGCTACCCTTCTGCATCAATCAAGACCAATTGATTTCCATATTTTACCATTTCAATTTTTCCCCTTTCCCTCAAATCCTCTCCAGATTGTGGAGGTGTTCTTTGCTTATACATAAGTCCTGCTGACAACTGAAGTTTGTTCAGTGCAGTGAGCTCTTGGTTGCTCTCAATAAAGGCATTAAGTAGTTGGGATTATTTCCCTCTAATACACCAAGGTGGCTAACTCCTTGTCCCACCTCATTTGTGGGTGTATTGTAGTCATGCAGTTTAATCCTTTGCATGTTTACTTGGGAGTAGCTCCCCTGAACACAGTGGAATTTTACTTCCTCATAAAGTGCACAGAGAATTGCAGATTTGCTTATGTCAGATTTGTTTGTTCATCTATCATAAAATTTGCCTAGCATGTGAATTTCTCTAAATCAGTATAGAATTGTTCAAGCTTAAGTTTGGGATCAACTCCAAGGAAATGTTGGGGGAGTTTCCCATATTTCATAGGAAACTGTATATTACTACACAGTGTGTGTGTGTGTGTGTGTGTGTGTGTGTGTAAACATAAACTGTATATTATTACATTGTTATTTTGTATTATACCCTGTATGCAAGGAATACAGGACAACTCACATGATTCTCCTCCTCGAATTTTTCCTTCTTGCAAAGAGCACATTTTATCCTCACAACAGCCCTGTGAGGTAGGTTATAATGAGAGTCTGTGTCTGGCCCAAAGTCATCCAGTGGGCATCGTAGCTGAGTGAAAAGTATGGTGCCAATGACAACTATGAGAAACTGGTGGATTTTTGCATTTCTGCACTACTGCTCCACCACTGAAGCTGATCTTAAATCTGCAACGAATCCAGAAGCCTCACTAAACAGCAAGTTTAAAACCTCATGTAAAGAGCCCCTTTGCAACATGTGACGATTCAAGCGCTCGCAGAGCTTCTCCGTCTCGCAAGCGGTGCACAAGAGCCGGTCCTGCTAAAAGAAATGTTGCAAGTGCCATTAGCCTTAACCCGTCCCGGTGGCCAGGTCGGTGGACAAGCGCACCAAGCAAAAACTACCCCACAATGACTGTGAAGAGGAGACCTACATCTTTGGGCCAAACTATACTTTCTACAGGAGGTTCTTGCTGCTCTTTTCTTTCGAACTTAAGTGGCCGGGTGGGGGACTTTGGACTGAGCCACGCATTGTGTGATCGTGCCGGTGTGTGAGGGGGTTAACCCGTTGCTAGGATCCCCCGAACCTCGCCCCTATGTTTCCCCCTTTAAGGCCGAGCGCAGCTTTGGGCGGCGGGTGGCAGGTCTGAGTTCCGGGGATAGGGGGCGTCAGAAGCGGCGCTGCCACCCTCCCTCTCGTCAGGGCCACTCGTGAAGCCCTCTCCCCAGCTCCAGAAAGAGGCGGTCGCGGGGCGCCCGCGCAGGAGCTGCTTGGCCCTCGGGCTGGGCGCGGGAGAGAGAGCCCCCGGGACGGCCGCTCCGCCCGGGGCGCCAGCGCGGACCCCGCTCCGGTGCGCGCCCAAGAGGCGGCCGGCGGCGGGGCTGCCTTCCGTGACGCCGCGACTCCGCCGAGCACTCCGCCTCCCCGCGCCTCGCCGCTGCCGGCTCCAGCCGCCCTCGCCTGCCTCCGCCTCCCCCCCTCCTCCCCCGAGCTGCTGACTCAGCCCGGGAGAAAACTCAAAGGGCACCGGCGGAGGATCCGAGGATGTTGGCCGAGCGGCGGCCGCCGCCCAGCACTCCTCCCTGACTCGGAGCGGGAGAGAGGAGACTTTCCCGTCCGCGCCAGAAACCAGGCAAAGCTCAGCCCCACTCTGGCGCTTCCCCGCTCCTCCGACGGGAGCCGAAGGCAGCATGACAGCCATAGCGGTGCAGGTAATGCGCGGGCGGTGCAGCAGCGGCGCGGTCCGGCCGGGGGGCAGCGGCGGTCGCTCGGAGCGGCGGCGGCGGAGGGCAGGCGGCGCGTCGCATCCCGCCGGGCTCCTTTGTTCTCCCTCTCGCCGCCGCCGCCGCGCCGCCGCCGCCCGCCCGTGTTTACCGTTCACCCTACAGGCAGCGCCGCTCATCGCAGCCGGCTCCGCTCGACTTCGGCACCACCTGTTGCTCTGTAATTTGTGTGGGTGTCTTTCGACCAGGGAAAGCACTCCCGTGAACTAGAAGTCCTGCCCGTTGAGCGCCCCCCCCCCTCTCTCTCTCTCTCTCTCTGTGTCTTTCCTGCTCTCACTCTTACTTAAGGAGACTAATGAAGATCCATATGATATAGTTCTGGTACTGCCAGATTTGGGGGGGGGGGGGGGGGGACCGCTCTATCACGCGAACTTAAATCCCGTTTTCTCTCTTTCTCCCGAGAAATAGGAGTTTTCTAGATGGAGTTCCACGCACTGTTAACAATCTAGCTTCCTGTAGCGGTTACACGAGAGGGTTGTTTTAGGGAGAGTTTCAGGGTGGAAAAATACCTTTGAATGTAACACATACTGAAAGATTCTGCCTCAGACGCAGCGCTATGGCACACTGTGGCCAGATTTTGCCAAGAAAACACTGCAGACAATTTTCTTGACTTGCCCAATTTCCCCACTTCCTTCTTGGAATGCAAAAACTTGTTTACAAAGATCAGCAACTCTTATCCCTTGTTGGCATGCTATTATTGATGCTTCAGCAAAACCGAGTCCCCCTTGGAGCTATTTAAAAATATAATGCAGGCAGGGGGTGAACTTGAGAGAACAGGAAACATGGGATATAACAAGGAGGACATGCTCAGAGTGAACCGGTTTTGAGTTGTGAACTGAGCTCCCAAGGGGCTGGAATATTGTGCATTGTTTGAGGAACTTCCAGCAAAATTGTACACATGCACACTTTTAAGAGTCTGGTCTTCACTTTGGACTCTCCCAGTGTCGTGCTCTATTGCTGCCCATTAGCTACGTTGGCTGTGGCTGATGAGTGATGAAGTTGACAACATCTGGAGGGCACCGGATTGGGGATGGCTGCAGAGTCCTCAAACCATTTCATGTATTCCTCTAAACCAGAGATAAGTAGAAGGTAGAGGGGAGGTCTGCTGCTAAATCTGAGTGATTTATAGTGGATCCCTCATGGTTCCTTACAAGCCATAGTTTTAAAATTGCAGGTAAATCTACACATTCTTTTAAAAGTCTGCCATGACACTGACACTGTACTAACCACATCTCCCTCAGCCTCATATCAGTATCTCTCACCTGTGAAATATGAATGCTGTTTGGCTTGCCTTTGATCAGATCTTTGTATAGCTCTGCTGTTTTTGATCGGGGTGGGCAACTTGTTGCCCTCGAGAAGTTTTGTTGGCCTACAGCTCCCATCAACCTTAGCCAGTATAACCAGTGATGAGACATGTTGGGAGATGTAGGCTGAAACAGCCAGAGGATACAAGTTGCCTACCCCATTTTAAGGTTTTAGGACTCTGACCTGCAGTAATGCAGAAATGCATACAGGTTGATGGAGGGATAGGGTGGGGATTGCAGGAGATGCCTTGTTCAGCACCTGGAGCCATAATTTTTCATCTTGTTTTGCCCCATCAGCCACTTGTCTGTTTAGTGGACCTCTGAGTCCTTGTAAAAAGCACTGTAGATCCCACAAGTCTGAAATCTGCCTGCCCTTGCTTTAAACTTCTCCTGTAATATGTTTGTTATGTCTGTAGTGCAGCTTTCCCCAGCCTGGTGACCTCCAGATGCTTTGGACAACACTGCCCAGCATTCCCACTACTTGTTAAGCTAGCTTGGGGTGATGGAAATTGATGTCCAAAATATTTGGAGGGTGGCAGCTTAAGGAGATGTGTGATGCACTATACTCTCAGGTCTTGGGGGAGGTCTACCCTTAAGGACATCTGGAAAATAATGCAAACTATATAAATAAATATGTCTAAGAAATTCTTGTCTCTTCTTTCACTCTCTTTATTCACAGACACTTTTCACTGATCCGTCCAACTCCTCCTTCATGCTTCCCACTGTCTTACTCCATTAACAAATCTCCTTTTACAGCATTATAAAAATCTCTTTCCCCTCAGTAAAAACTCTGATCCTTGCTCTGCTCAGCTCTCACCAGACTATTGCCAGAGCTACCACCTTATATTTTCTCACTTTCATCCACTTATGTCCAGCTTGCCCTCTGGAGCCAAAATTATTCACCTTCCTCAACCCTCTGGCCATATGATGCCCCGCCTTTAATCTCAACACTGGCTCCTTGTCTGCTTCCGGAAGCTTCTTGTCTCTGTCTCCCCCATCCCCCTGCCCTTCTCCCCCGCCATCATCTCTCACAGACTTCTCACTTCCATCCTGCCATTTCATTTCCTTTGTCGCTTCCTGTGTGTGTTTGAGATTGTAAGCTCACCGGGGTAGAAATCTGTCCAACCTTTCCTTTGTAAAGTACCACCGTGTGCATAGATGTTCCTATATAACACGCCCTGGTGCTTTGACCCTATGCTCTGTAACTCCACTGCAACACTGCTGGGAAGTCCCTGTTTCAAGTCACGGTGTTGCCGCACATGCATGCGGCATTCTCAGGCAAAGCAGTGTCCACCACTATCTGTTGTAGCCTCTTACTAGCCATTTTGTAATTTAATTTAATTTAATTTAAACATGCTGTCCTTTGTAACAAGCCTCAGGACAGCTTACTGAGGATAAAAATAGCAATATAAAGTAACATTAAAACATTCAACAATGATACAACATGAACAATATATCTTTTCATAACTAAACAAAAAGAAGGAAAAAATGTGACTGTATAGAAATTAATATTACTATTAAAATTATTAATATTAATTATTGAAATGGTGGTTAAATAAAAAGGTCTTTACCTGGCACCGGAAAGAATAGAAAGTCGGCACCAAGTGGACCTCTCTGGGGAGGTAATGAGAAGGAAAATGTAGATTGTCACGAGTTTGTAATGAAGCAGTGACATGACCCATTTAACCACACTCTTGACAACTGGCTGAAGAATCAAGCAGACCAACCACTCCCTGGAATGGGAATTTAATCACCTTTATTCAGAAGTTTCCCATATTATTCTAAGAGTGAATTGGCTCCTGTACATACTGGAGCACACCAGTGAGTCTGAGGCTCCTGTGTTCCTATATAGATACATGCGCACACCCATCTAGCATATAGCAGATGGCCAGGGCATGCACACCGCTGGCACAATTCCTTTTCTCGTTTCTGGCGGACAGATTGCGTATGCAGGTTCTGTGTGGCAATAATAGCAGGCAGGTAAAAATGTAGCATATCTCAGTTTCCTTTTCCTTGTGAATTAAATATCACAGAGGATGCTGGCACCTTAATAGAATAGGGAATAGAATCCACAGAAAGTGTTAGGTTGGTTGTGCGGGGGTTTTTTGGGGGGGGGGTGTATCACCACTTCTGCACTGGATACATTCCAGATGACCAATTTTCACACCATGCTTTCACTTCCTAAGGCATTCTCAAGTCAATCATATATGAACTGTCTGCAGGTGTGATTGATTCTGATCATTATTGTGCATCCTTTATAATCAGTTACACCAATGGTAACAACTTGTTTGTTGGTCATGAGATATCTGTTTCTGTCTATTTATCATATATAGATGTATCTCGGTTTGAAATGCAGGAGCCCTGTTTAACTTTCTTTTTCTTTTGTGATCATCACTTTAAGGCCCAGTGGCTACATGCCCACAGAAGACCAAAGAGATCGTTTTTTGAGACATTTATCCGGAGCCTCATTATCCTCTGTGTTGCGATAGCAGTTGTCCTATCATCCATTGCCGTGTGCGATGGCCACTGGCTTTTTGCCAAAGGAAAGTTCTTTGGATTGTGGCACTTCTGTAGCATTGGGAACAACAGCGCCCTGAAATGTACCACCAACCTCACTTTGGCTAATGTCAAAGGGATAAACATAGGAATGACTCTTGCACGAAGTATGGTGTCACTTGCGGTGGTTGTAGCCATCTTTGGCCTGGAACTTCTCATGGTCTCCCAAGTCTGCGAAGACGTCAACTCAAGAAGGAAGTGGTCAATGGGATCAGTGCTCATCCTTTTCTCATTTATGCTGTCATCTGCTGGAGTCCTGAGCTTCGTAATCCTTCTGAGGAACTACATGAGTTTCACAGGCTTTACATTAACCTACTGGTGTGAGTTTATTGCTACCTTCCTTTTCTTCCTTAATGGAATCAGTGGACTTCACCTCAACAGCATAACATTTCCATGGAGCAGAATAAGAAAAACTTAACAGCAATGGACACTGGTTCTCCCCGCTACACTGAGAAGCATGTCAGTGCCAATCAGTGTTTGAAATGGACAGTGTTTTTTCATCATCTGCATTAAGAGGAAGGGTTTGGGAGCAGCCTTCCACTTTCAGAGTATGCTCGAGATGAACTGATGACAGATAGTGGCTACTGAAAAGTGGATAGCGAGGCCTGCCGAGATTTTACATAATGTAACTATTCAAAGTAATGATCTAGCAAATAGGTGGTTTAGAGCATAATTCTATGTAGGACTTTTTTCATTCTAAACTTGCATAGGATTTTACCGTTAGTTAATTTAAAATTCAGTTCAGAAACCCAAGGACCCCAATCCAGTTATAGTAAGTTCTCCTGTAAGTCTCATTGAAACTAATGAGGCAAGGTATAAATCTTACAGCTTTCAGTTTGACTTAGTCACAACTAATTCTGGCTGGCTGGGAGCCAAGGCCAGCATCCCAGTGGGGATAAGGCACACACTGTAAATTTGCTGTGTTCTTTCCCTAAATCTCCATGATTTTTGTTGTTGTTGTTGTTGTTTGGCTGGTTGTTAGTTTGTTTTGCACATCAGTAGGTAGTGTAAGAAGAAAGATCTGTACTATGCAAGAAGTTAGGCAATATGCATGCTTCACCTCCAAATAAATTCAAATAATTTGCATTTCAGCCTAGCCTATTTCAAACTGTTATTATGGCCTTGCTCCTTATTATTTCCTCCATGAAAGCAAATAAAATAAAATTTATATAAAATGCCAATATTTTATAAGACCTGTTATGCACTACGAGTATATTGCTCTTTTGAACCATGCCTGCAACTAAGCTCCTTTCAGTAGCAGTTTAGTTACATTTGATGTGGCGTTTATCTCATAATTTATCACTTCCTCTCTCTCCCCCTTCCCCTCCCCCTCTCTTTCTCTCTGATCCTCCACTGCCTTAATACTTCTGCCCAGTATTTTTGAAGGATAGTTCAGACCCTTCTTACTTGACCAAAAATCTCTCCCATTGGTGTATTGCTCATTTTTCTAATAAAAACAGCTTGTAAAGAGAATGACTTAAAGGAAGTAACCACAACTCGATTTTGGAAATGCACACAAAAAGTTGGCTTTGACCATGCAAAGCCATTTGACTGATCTCACTGTGACAAGGTGCACAACATTAGTTGCACTCTTAGTGCCCACAGATGTATTTGAACTAGATTATTTTAATGCTGTGGTATTTGCTTATGTCAGGGTCACACAGCCTCTTGGGGTTAGTGGGCTAGTGGTGAGACTTAAAAGGAAAGTAATTTGCTGAAAAACCAAGGCAAGGGTGGGGGCTGAGTTCCAAAAGACAAAATGATACTGTTGAACCCAAGTTAAGCCGGCATTGGAGGGCAGTACTTCGACTGGCAGCTTGCCCACTTTCCAGCTTGAGCAGAAAAATAAAAATATCTTAAGATGGAAAAAATAAGGGTGATGAGGATCCTGACAGGCACCAAGGAAGGTGTCTGTGGGCACTCTGGGGTCCCCAGCCATGGGAGACCCCAGATTTCTGTAACTGCTATTTGATTGTGCATATGAGACTTTAAAAGGAACCCCCTTAGAGTGTTCGACTTCATTTTCATCATCACTGTCAATGGAGAACTACCCACCAAATCAAAATGCTTTTTATTAAACAGGAATCGTTGGTTTCATTAATCCCCACATGGCTGGCGTTTATGGTGTAGGACTGGATGTTAGCCTGATCACGCATTCATGGAGGGGAAAAACCCAACAGGTATCCCAATCCTTTCTATCCCAGAGCAGGCATTTAGGAATATTTGCCTTTTCTTGCTTAGCATGTGATTCCCTTCAGTCCTATCATGTGGCAAGATAGTTGCAATGATTTCAATGACTGAAAACCCAAAGCATTCCTTGCAGGGGAGATGATGAAGTGGGCTTATGCCACTTCAAGTGACTGGAACCCTTCACTGCGGAAAAGCTGGCTGGGTGTTTTTGAGGAGGCTTTTGAATGAGCAACTGGGGTGGGTAAGACTGAGCTTCCTTGCAGTGCACTAGAAGAGAGGCTTGTCCAAAGTAGTATCACTTTGCACAGCCCTGGCAGGATGTAGATCAGGGAATGCTGCGTTCAGGACTTTTGTCAGTTTTATTTCCCTTTTATCAAAATCACAGGAAGCTCAGTCAGTCAGTCAGTCTCTCTCTCTCTCTCCCCCCCCCCCACTCTCTCTCAAGCAAACTTTCACACTGGGATTATTAACTTCAGTGTCATTGTTTTATTTTGTTGCTTTAATGTTTTATGCAAAATGCTTTAAATAGAATGCTCGGGCAATTTTAGTGTGGGTTTCAGGAGAGATCTGCTGACAGGTTTACATCTGTTGACAGAGAGGTTTATAAAATTCACCCACAGGCACATGTCACAATATCTTTACCTTCACAATTCTGTATGAATCCGGACAGCTTCTTGATAAAGCTACAAACATAATGCCTTAAAGTGCCAATATTTCCTTAGTGTGGGCCAGTTATAAAGGGACCCCTCTAAAGATTCTGGATTACGGTTCTCATAAGCTTTGGCCAACACTGATGGTCACCGTGGGCGTTAAGTCCATGGGTGCTTCCAGGCCACACCTTTATAGTACACTTGCCCTGCCTCACTCATGGCATGCCATGGGGAGTTCTGGAAGGCATCCCTGTAGCCCACCCATGGCTTCCTGCTACTGCTTCGGCCCTCTTCCTGCCACAGAAAATCCAGCTGGGGGGATGCTGGGAATGTTGGCACACAGCTTTCTGAATGATAGTGCCAGGAACCCTCACTCTTGATGTACACCTCCCAACCCCCTCCCCACAACACAAAATGTATAGAGGGCACCAGGTTGCCTGTTTCAGAGTGTGGCCTCACATGGCCAAGATCCATCTATATGACTCACCTAAGAGGGGATGGTGGAGGAGGCTGATTTCATGCACCTGTTCAGCATATCACCATCACCCCCAAAATAACAGTTGCCAAAATGGTGAGTGGGTGGATAACTTGGAAGAAGGAATTTAAGGGAATTACTTGCTGCAATTGTCCACAAATGAGGCAGCTCCCCATTTGATGAGCTGTTGAAAGGGTCATAAAACTCTTCAGGCTCTTTCCTTCCCCTTTCATACATGGTCAAAAATGGCTGTCTAGATGGAAGACAGGGTGCAAGATCACTGCTGCCGGGCCTCACCCATGCATTGGAGCCGAGAGACTTCTATGCGTCAAGAGTGCAGGCCACTGGATTGCATGCTTAGACTCTTCCTACCTCTCTCTGTGCCTGCAGCTGCGGATTGTAAGAGTGTTCAGGACTGTGCGCTTGATCCTCTGTGTGAATCTCTCTAAGGTGTTCTAAGAAACTTTCAAGCAAGATTACATATAATGTTCGGACATACAGAGCCAGCGTGTCTATAGAACTAGGCTACCTTGGACATTATAACAACCCATGATTAACAAACCATGAGTTGTTTCAAGTGAGGTTCACTGCATGAAGCTATGCAGTTCTCCAAAGAGCGAGCTACATGTTTATTGTTTGGGGGCTTTAATGTTTTCCAGTTAAAGATGCTTTTTAAAAAAATAATGGGTATCTGGCAAGTGGAAAGAATATAGTGCTATTAATTTTCTTCAAGGCAGTTAAAAATATACATTCAGGAAATGTAAAGTCTTTTTGTAAGTTTGGTCTACTGAGCAAATTGTCCCAAATGTGAGCCTTCCCAAACGATCATATGTGTAATGAGCAAATGTGTAAGTCTTTCTAGTTTGTTGTCTGAAACCCTGACAACCTCCTTGTTTGGAGGATTTTACAGTTTTCTAACAATGGCTCCTCCAGTCTTTTCCTAGATCAGCCTTCCCAAACTTGACATTCTCCAGATGTTTTGGACTAGGACTTCCATCATGTTCTGCCCAAGTTTTTCCCATGCTCCCTGGTGCTGATGGGATGCAATTTAGGAAGGGCAAGCCTGGAGGTTCGGCTCTAGTGCAACAGGCCGAACACTCTTCCCCCATGCAAAGAATGAACGCAGTTCATTCACAGTTTTCTAAGAGTGGGAGGGACAATCTGGTAAGGCATCCCACATTCATTAGACGCAGACTGGGTGTTGCACTGTTCCTTTGAAGCTTTCAAGATTATCCCATGGAGGGTTAAAATGCATTAGAGACCCATTTTGAGCTAACCGCCTGAAACAGCCCTAAATGGCATTCTATAGCTGACTCGATTCCTGTTAAAGGTTGTTTTGTCAGTAAATATGGGGAATCAGTCTAGCATGGGTGTGGATTTTCACATGGTCTCTGTCTCAAATGCATATTGTTTTGTTATGTACGTTGTAATATGTCCTATTCCCAAATCATGACTATTTTCAAACAACTCTAAAAGAAGGTAGAAAGAAATCTAGGACCTGAATGTCAAATAGTCAATAAATGACCTTTTGAATTTGTAATGTTAGTCACCTGTAAAGTTTTCTGTCATGACGGGAGTTATTAAACGTGATAAGTATAGATGTGCTATGATATATACTTCTGAGTGCGTGCATACTTATGCTCACATGTCTTTGTACAAAAATGGAGCAGAAGAATGAGCTTTCTGTACTAGAGCATATGCCTTCTCCCAGCAGGTTGCCCTTCATTTGGCTTGAACTATAACTCCCATCAGCTCCAGCCAGCATGGCCAATGGTCAAAGTTGATGGGTGTTATGGTCCAAAACTTCTGGAGGGCACCAGGCCAGAGAGAGCTGCTGAAGATTAATTTGTGCAAAATGGTGTTAAGGTTTTGATTGCATGTAACTGCAAAATTTGGGGTAGGTGCAGAATTTTGAACACTGGAGCAGGAATGTGTTACGTAATGTCCAAGACATTAAACGCCTGGATTATGTACAGGTGAAAGAATGGGTTCAAAATGTGTAGCATTTGAACTTAATGTAGCGCAAGACCTAGCAGTCCCATGCAAAATCTTCTCGTTTCCCCAGCATTTAGCAGAGATTGCTTGATGCATTCCCACCTTCCCTCCAAAGTCAAGATGGCTAGATACTTGATGTTAGCGCTCTTTGTCAAGCTTAGAGTAAACCTATTGAAATCAATGGCACTTATATTAATCATAGGTAAGTTGAGCCCAGCTGATTTGTACATCTACTTAAAGCACAGCAGAGTCTGGAACTACCCCTCAGATTTTTCGTATGAAAAGTGAGACTGTTGCAACACTCATAAATGCCACCCTATCCCATTACAATCAGCGCTGCAAGGCATAGTCACAGCAATTCATATTTTTAGCACGGTATGATTCACTGCACAGAGTGCTTAGCAGAAGAGAATGCATTTTGCTAGGGAAATTGGATTAGAGCCAGAGAGACCCATGCAACTAGTACCCTGCACAATTGTAGGCAGGGGAGGCACATTCACATCCAGTTCCGGTGCCAGGTTGCTTCCTTCATCTTTTTCCCCTGGTGAGCTTCCCAGAGGCATCTGACTAGCCACTGCTGGAGACTGACTTGCCCAGCAAGTCTCACATTCCCGAAGCTCTCTTTGGCTAAAGGTGGCAGCATCTGCATCAGCTTAGAGTAAATACGGAAGACTGATCTCTGGAAAGACCCTTGTTCCCCTGTGAACAGTGAGAACCAGCAGACATCTGAAAGCTTTTTTGCCCTTCAGGAAGAGTGCTGATTTCTTCATATGTATTTAATTAATGTGTGTGTGAGAGAGAAAGAGATACAACATTCATACCAAAAAAAGAGCATCTGTGAAGTATTCTAAACAGTTGGTATGTTATTGAACTTGTAAAAAAAGCAAAATAAACACTTTGTCAAAATCTAGTAAACTTCACTGCTTGGTCAGACTATAACAAGAAAAACATTTACATTTGTTCATATTCAAATCTTGAAGAGATAGTCAGTTAAATTAACCATCTCTGCAACCTTGCAAACTCCACACAACCATTCTTTTCCCTTGGGAACACCATGACTTCTGTTTCTGGTAACCAAAGTCAACAGGTTCTGAGCCATCACATTATGTAAGGGCAAAACTATACTAAGAGGATCACAGGATATGGAAATGTGCAAGAATGGATATTGCACATGCAAACTTTTCCCAAACATATTTAATGAAAGAACATTCCCAGCATAAAAAACATGCACGAAGCAAGCTTTGTCATGTCCCCATTGCCAATGCCATCTTCATGGTTCCTTTAATTATGCCAGTGTGGAAGTGTCTACCCTGTCATTGTTTGGTTGTTTTGGTCGCTATTTTGTGCTTTTCGCTCTTCTTTCTTTCTTGTTCAGTTTATGCCCAATTGTAAAGAAACAGCATGATAAAATCAGAAGATTAAGCATACAGGCCGAAAGCAATCACATCTGTATTGATGGTTCCTGGCACTTGATTCCAAATCCCCTCCCGCAGGACTGCAGGCCTTCTTTTGGCCAGAACTTGCATTGCAGAGAAGGTCTTGAGGGGCTGCATCCCAGCGCTGGGGCAGGATGCCAGCATGTCCTAGCTTCGTGTTCTTACTGTCGGTTTGGAAACTCAGGAGAGGCATTTCAGCCTTTTGGAATGCAATTAAAATGTGCTAAAGCCAAGAGACTATTGAATGCCTGGTGGTCGGGCAAAAGGAGGTTGGGTCAGCGGAGGGGGCATTGTCTTCTGCAGCACCCCAGAAGACCCACCTATTTGAAGTGCAGCTCTCCAGTTGTGCACTCTGGCCTTTCATGAGTGGGCATGACTGGTGACAGCATACAGCTGTTTCTCACCCCAGCTCCCCATCTTAAAATAACTGATATGCACCAACTCTCTTCAGTGTGCACATGAGAGAGAAAGGGAAAGTTAACAAGATAAAGCCTGCATAAATCTGTCATTGAAGCTAATGGACTCTGAGTAGGCTAATTGTGTAAAGGATTTCAGCCAAAGCCTATAAAGCATGTTATATATTAAATGCCCTCTATTTATTTGACATCCTCTCCAAACCCAGCCAGTTGATCTTGTCAGCATTTTATACAACTGTAGGATGTTATTTAGGCGTACACATCATGACAACCATGAGCACTCTCTTGCTGGACAATCACCCTTGAGAAGCCACAGATAGTTTAAAATTTCACCGAGTCAATGCTGATTCCCAGTCCCAGCCACAAGGAATCAGTTCCCTGGCAACAGATCCACTGGCAAAATTGTGCATAGTTATTTACACATCATTGGCAAGGTATGCTCCCCCTGCCCCACAAAAGCAAGCAAGCACAGCTTGGCTGTGAACTGACATATCCTAAGCTCCGTGCTATTTTTGCAAGGTCTGATGGGAGGCAAGAAATTGTAGCTCTTAAAAGAGGAAGGACAAAGATGTTCAGCTAACAGACATTAATCTGAATCTTTTCCCTAGCTGCATATTTCCTGTCTTTTCTATTTGTGGCATTTCATTGTCAGGAAAGAAAAAAATTCCTGGCAGGTCGGGGAGGTGCATGAGAACAGCCGCCCCATAATCACCTCAAGGCTTATTCACTGATCTCTCATTTGGAAACCGCAATCCCTCCACTTTCAGCCTGCATTTGTGTTCGGATAACTGAGCACAGCCAGTCAGTCATGTCAGCAAAGTGACCATTTACGCTGCATTCCGGAGGGAGAGCCGGTGGGAGTCTTGCTGCCACAAAGACCCCAGATGGGCTCCTGGAGCCTTCAAGAGCCGCGGCTACTGGGCAGTCGAAACATGAGAGAGAGAGAGGGAGAGAGAGAGGGAGAGAGAGAGAGGCTGACATAAGTTTTTGTTTGCCTCCTGACAGAAGGACTCTTTGCTCTACCCGGCAGAATGCATTGCATGACTCCATCCTGGTGTTCCTTAAGGGTTTTCTGTAGATTTAGTTCCTTAGTGGATTTCTCTCCCCCCACCCCTGCATTTCCACGAATAAAGCAAGGCAAGAGCACAATCAAAGCTTTTTTTTTTTAGAAAGAAGCTTGCACTCAGGGTGTGGGTGTGTGTCTGTGTGTGTTGGTGCATACAGCACACACCCCCTGAGTATACAGATGAATGAGAATGAATTATTACAATTCACTGCATTTGTTTATTTAATACAAAATCAGGTCAAAAGGTCAAATGATACAAGAGGCAGTAACATTTTCCCACAGCACCTTGCAGGAGGATACAAGCAAACAGAGCATCCCACCAACATCCAATCAGCACGGGAGCGGCCTGCTCCTGACCAGCAGCTACTGCGGATCATGAGCAAGCGGAGCAAAGCCAGGAATAGACACACCCCTCAGAGGGGGAAATTACTCTCTACAGCAACCTGGGAATTCCCCGAATCTGCTGAGACAAAATTACACAGTGGCAGATTTGCAAATGTATTCCAGCTTGGTGGCTTTGTGTTGGCGCTCCACACATGTACAACAATTACACATGCCCTAGGCAATAAAACAGCTCAAATGAGGCTTTTTGAATTGAAATTAAAAATAAAAAGTTCAAGCAATTATCCACACATGCTCCCCCAGGGCTCCCCCAGTGCCTTTTTGCTTGCCTGCTTGCCAGAACGTGGCTACAGGCTCTTTGTGCACGGAGCGAAGCAGCCCAGAAGCCTCAGCCACGCTGTGGTAGGAGAAAGGAGTGTGCTGGGCATGCGTTGCTCACTGCGGCCGCACATGGGGGATGACGAGTGCCTTTGTTTCGTGCTGGGAGCTCCCCCAGGTCAGACAAACTGAAGCAGAGCTCCAACAGCCTTGCGGCCCATTGGGGCGCTGCTCCTGGAATAGCAGCGCATGACACAGAAGCATTTTGCAGACAGGCAGAGATGAGCCACGGCAGCGGTGTCTGGGGGGTGGGGGGTGCTTTTCAAACAGCAGCTACCGAGCAGAGTCAGGTGCACAGGTGCAAGCACACAACAGCCTGTCTCAGGGCTGCTTCCACTGGGCAGCCTGGAATTATTCTGCTTGGCTGGGACACAGAGTGCAGCACAGCTGAGTCAGCCCAAAGCATCACCCTGCTCCACATTCATCTGAAACCAGAGCTGGAGAACACCTGGCCTTCTGGATATCGTTGGACTACAACTTCCATCATTCTCAACCAGTGTCATGCTGGGTGCAGAGTCCAGAGACAGCTTCCCCATCCCTGACTCAGCTATTTGTAAAAATGCAGGCATAGGGCATCAACAACATTAAACAGGTAACAAAATATGTTGTAAGCAGGTCTCTCCCTTCCTCTTTTACTTTCCAGCAGAGTCACAATCCAACTTGAGAAGCACAGTTATTTTCTTAAAACTTAGCTGGTTACAGAAGAGCATAAATCAAAGTGGTGTTCTCCTTAAATTGTGGGAGAAGCATCTGCCCATGTAAAGAGAGGAATCCCAACTGAAGCATCCCCCCCTTCCTCCCCCCCTTCAGCAAAGTTTCTGGATGCACCTTCAGGGTAGCCCCAATTGCTTGAGGGCTAACCAGCAGGAATACAGTACACATCTCAATTGTCTCCTGGCTGGGTCAAGGAACTCCTTCTCTATCACTTCCCCTCCCTGGCTCCAAAAGTCTCCCTGCTTTTCCAAGGCTGGCTGGTTCTCACTCTTTGTCTGAAAAACTTTGCTAGGTAAGCTCGAAACTGCAGAGCAGTCTGCCCACCTCTGCCCCCTCCTCAGAATCAGAGAACTCTCTCTGGGCAGACGGTAATGTGCAAAACCTGGGCCCCTCTGTACAAATACACGTTAACCTCCATTTATCAGGTCCAAATGGGTCTTGCACACATCCCAAATTGCTCAGGTTTTGGTGAGGGTTCCCCAAGACAAGAATTACATACTTAATGGGCAGTTTCCACAAAGGCCGTTCCAGCTGTCCAGATGTTCCAATCTGGTAACGAGACCAGGTAGTGAGAAGACACACTCTCCGGGGACACAAGAGGCACCGTGCTGAAAATGTCTCCCACACTTGTTACAACCAGCTTCATTCATTCCACGTAGGAAAGAAAGTGCTTTTGGAAAGAAATTCAGAGTTGAAGAATATCTTGCTCAAAACCTCCTGGGCTGGATTTAGGGTTCTTGCACTTACCATACCTAGGTAGCAGCTGAGGAACTAGCTCATCTTACACTGCCCGACAGCCTGCACTCCCATTAACTGCGCATACAGCTGCCTTCCTTCTCTCTTCCCCACATGCCCTCAGTGTTAGATCTGGGAGACTGTGGGAGGTTAAAATATGAGGTTGCCTGCACACTTGCTACTTACGCACTTGCAGAGGCATTGCAAAAAGCCTTTGGGAAGAATGAAGCAGCTGTGGTGGAACCCCTTCCACTGGTGAGCCCTACCATGAGAAGCTCCTGGGTAATTTCTCCTCCCCTTGGAAAAAAATGATGAAAGTGTTCCCCCAGTTGCTCAGTCCGCAAATAGCATGGAGACTTTTGAGAGGCTATTTGTGCACACCTCTACACTGAAGATCCAAAGCAGCAAACCTGCAAGAACAGGTGTCAGCCCTGATCACATTCCCCAGCTGGTTATGGGTGTTGTTTTGAGGTGTGAAGGGAATTTATTGTTGTTCTTGTATGGAAGCTTGATTTCTACAAATCTCTCCAGACAACACAAGTTTTCCCCAAGGAAAACTTCAGTTCATGACTCACAGCTTGCCCAAACTACTGTCTGAAGTGTGATCTTCAAGAGAACAAAAGCCTTTAATCTGCCACTCACATCCTGCTGTACTGAAGCAAGAAGGAAAAAGAAAGAAGAATAAGTTTCCGTTATTAGGAAATGAATCTTCTTCATAAAATACTTTGGGAGTTAATCATATTCGGGTCATACTCAACGACAGACTCCAAGCAGAGCTAATTAAGGGCCATGTTTAGCTTTCACATTCCTAATCGTAATGCCTGATGAGGTAAGTATAAGCTTTCCAGTGAGCTCTGGGTGCGCAATTAGCACTTCTTTGTCTGTAAGTTCTGCCTAAGTACTCTGCCTCATTAGAGTTTGCTCGGATTTTGGGCAGAGAGTCTCCTTTCCTCCTGAGGGCTGGGCTTCATCAGCTGCAGCACCTGAGTGAATCCACTTGCTTCATTCTGAAATGAAGAGCTGTGCTGCTTCTGTGAATGGAGATGCTTCCTTAAGCGCCACTGCCGCCATTTTCTCTGAATCTCCTGCTGGACCTAAACCGAAGTTTCAGAAAAGTTGTAAGGACAAGCCATGAAGCAGTCAATGGATGAGCCAGTCTTCCGGCCAAGTGCTTGGGTGTGTGGGTCTAAAGACATAGCAACAACATGCACAATCAGTAAAACAGTAGAAGGGGAGTGAGTGCAGCAGCCCACCCACTCTGCCTGATGTGTTGACAGTGATGCAGTCCAGTGCAAGCCATCTATGTTATTCACGGGCTGTTGAATTTGAGCTCTGTCTCCCTAAATCAGTGGCCAGGAAGCCTCTTCCTGTCAAGGCCTGCATGACCTCAATCAAAAGTTGCTGTGGGGCAGAACAAAGCCAGCAAGAATCCATGGCCTGGGAATTCTGAAGACTGAGAGGCCTGGAGCTCTGCGTTGGGCCCATCAGTCAGATGTTCCTCACTCCTGCCCTAAAGAACAAGGTGCTTCCAGAAGCAGCTTTCACAATGCCATCATCCTGCCTCATTCATTCTGTGCAGCAGGTCCACTTGTAACCTCCCTGTGCTTTCCCACTGCCCCAGTATTCAAGAAATCAATTCCAGGCTTCCTTATGGCACATGAGGATCACTTTCCCCTGTTCCTGAATGCTAATATGAGCACGGCTAGAAGCTTTGTCATATACAGGCCTTCATCAGGAAGGAAATATACGGATGAGAAGAAAGTGTGGGGTGACTGAATAGAAAAGTGACTGGTGAGATGGGGAAAACTATACCTTACATTTTAGTAAATTTCAGTATGAGGGAAACTCACCTCACCATTAAGAAAACAATAAAGCACAGCCACAGCAAAGCCCTGCAACAAAACAGACCCTTTAATTTACGAGATACATCACTGCAAAGGACAGCAGCATTCCTGATCAATAAGGAACATCAGGTTAGAATCACAAACTTCTAGGTCTGAAGTTTGCTGTCAGCTGTGAAAAGCAGCCTCACTAATTCCAAAAATTAAGGCCGCAATCTCACAGACACGCACTCAGCAGGTCCCAACAAACTCTGTGGGGCTTACTTCTGAGTAGACAAGTACATGACTGCACTGTGAAGTGCTCACAGCAAGAGGCTTCCAGTTGTTTGCTGAACCCTTGGCTTATTTGAAAAGCTGAAGTGTTTCCAAACTCACACACATGTTTCTGGCAACATGGGCAATGCCAGGGATGAGGAAAGCAGAGATAATTGACCTTGCCATTTTTTCTGTGCTTCACTTTGAAGCTCCATTTGGAGTCACTCCAATTTTTGTTCACGGTCTGCTTTGTGGTTGTTCAAATTGGGCAAAAGTACATTTTGAATATGAATGGCATATATTTTTGTGCACATTTTTCGAAGGAGCACATTTCATTACTTTGAATATAGAATGAATAGTGAAATGTTTTTAAAAAGTGAATTCCAAAGCGTCCATGTTTAAAATATGCATTTTCCCAAAACAACTGCAGAATTGAGAAAGGGAAAACCTCTGTTCTAAATTCGAATGCTCATTCATGGTTGCAGCCAAGGTGAATTCAGATGTCTGCAAACTAAATGGATTAAAATGGGAGCCTGAGCTCTGCTACAGGTCTTGTACATAAGGTGCTTTAAGAACAATGGGATTGTTAAGATGATGGTCTAATCAGAACTTCAGTGCAGAGGTTGCATCTCATAACTGGTCCGAGCATTTCTGGAAGTGACGCGCTCTGCAGTACCTTAGTCTTTGTAATTCAGGCAGTGGCTTTATTAGTAGAGATCTGATGGGACCCCACCCCTAGTCATACATCCCTTTATATTGCATTACATGTTTATTCCTAGCGCTCATCTTTAATATAAAAAAATGGAAAAGATCATGCACACCTCTTGTTTCTTCAATCACAAACTTCCCATGGACATTTCAAAAGAGAAAATTACCTGGAATGATCCAATGGCTTTTTCAAACAGAGCCTGAATCTCCAAGGTCCCGTTCATGTTATCAAAAGGGAAAAAAGCAAAAATGATATAGTGGACGCCAAAGAGAGGGATGAGGACGAGTGTCGATTTAGCGAGTCTCCTAGGAGCAAGGACAGAGAGAACTGGACAAAGCGGGAAAGGGGGTTGGCCTGTGTAGCATTCACTCAGCCCCAATGCCAGCCTTCTCCAACCAGACAGCCTCCAAAGGTGTTAGACTGCAGCTCCCATCATCCCCAGCCAGGGGGCCCAATGACCCTGCTGCCTGGGGATCATGCAGGTTGTAGTCCAAGACATCTGGGTGGTGCCAGCTTGAGAAATGCTGCCCTACATCTTACTTCAACTACAGCAGGACATGACAAAGGTTGCACTTCCTCAGACTCACCTCTCAGAATGCCTTCAGCTGCTTTTGCAACTAGGGTGGTGCACCACACAGGCCTCCCTCCCCTCCCTCCACCCCTCCTCTCCCTCCAGAAGACCCTTGCATGCTCTTGGTGTGCTGCTAGTATGCTGCCCCGGGATGGCGTGTGCAAGGCTCCCTTCCAGCCCCCTAGCAAGAGATGGGATTCCTTGCTCCAGCACTCCAGAGCTCCGGACACTGTTCTGCGTCCTGCACCCAGATCTATGCTCTGTGGCTACAACACAGATGAGCATGTGGGCAGGGCTTCTTAACAGGGAAAAGGCAGGTGTCATGCCTAGCTATTGGACTGTGGTGACGATCTTCGTGTGGCAGACCAATGAGCAGAACTGCCTAAAAACACCACCTTTCATTGCAATCTGCATGGCTGAGTAAAGACGCTTACTTGTATTGACTGGAATCTTTGCCTCTTCCATCTGGCAATCTAAGCTTGCTCATTAGAATTCTGACAATTTTAAGAAACAGAATGAAATTGATCTGCAGAAAAAGCAACCAAAGACTGGCATCATAGTCACATCTTTGAAAGACACACATTAAGATTACCCTTCAGTTCAACCTTTATTTCTGAAATCAAATGTGGAATAGACTTACAACAATGGAGGCCACCACAGGGCCTTGAATGAGCCACCGGACATAGGTAAGATGAGTGTCCCAACATCTGTAAAGACAATAAAATAAAGCACGTTTTCTCCTCAGTGGAAGTTAACAACATTTATATTACTTGCCGATAAACTTCCTCTTAGAGCAACACACCCATCCAGTATGGCTTGGCATTCATCATGTTTGTGCAAACTATATACAAGTTATTCCACGTGCATGTAATCATGAGAAAACCCATGTGCACACAACAAAGCGTGAAAGCACAAGAATAAGTTTTCATTGCATTTTGTCAAGTGAAGAGTCCCGATTCAAATGAGCTCAGTAATACCTTAAACTCTAGTGGCAGAGAATGCCAGCTCTCATCAGCCCCAGCCGGCATGGTCAATGGTCAGGAACGATGGGAATTGTGCTCCAATAATATTAGGAGGGCCAGAGTTTCCCCACCCCTAACCTAACCATATGAAACATTAAAGCAAGGAATCCTGAATAGGTTGGCTCTGTTGTTCTGTCTATCAAGAACTGTCACACAGATTTATGTTCACCCCTTTGATGGCTGCAACCTCATACCAAGTTGCATGTATAGAAAAACTACACTAACTCAAACAGAACTGTATCATCCAGAGCTGCTCAATGGAAGAAAGTAATGCATTTGGCTAAGAGTCTTTCAGGAATTTAAAAGCAAAGGAAGACATCTTGGCCATAGGAAAAATTGCAACATGGATATAGTGTCATACCATTATTACAGGAGTGGGCAATTTTTGTCCCCTCAGATGTGTTGGCCTACAATTCCCATGGTCCCTTCATCATTGGCTGGCTATGTCATTAGTGTGGGGAAATGGCCTGAATCTTAACTTGGGAGATCTGCTTCAAATCCCTTCTCAGCCTTCATACCAACCATTTCATCTCAGCTTACCCTAACTTTTGGGATTGTTGGGAAGACGAAACAGGACAACTGCACACATGCTTTCTCCATCTTCCAAGAACTGGCAGCTCTTTCTCCTAGAACAGCCTTCCCCAACCTGGTGGCCTTCAGAGGCATTTGGACCGCAACTCCCAGAATTCCCATTGAGCAGGGGCATATACTGGGAGCTCTGGGCGTTGCTGTCCAAATGTGTCTGGAAGGCACAAGGTTGGGGAAGGCTGTCCTAGAATGTAGCTTTATTGACTTCCTTTTATCAACATACAATTGCTTATGAATGTCCTGATATCTTTCTGACCCTATGTGCTAATGCAGCTCTTAAGACAAAGTCCAGAGGACTTTCGGCAATAAAGCTATCTCAGTCCTTTTATTCCTTGACTTGAGACTTGGAAACCACCTCCCTGTTTTACAAGACACTATTCTGGCTTGATGTGATGTTTTTGACAACAACAAAAACCTCCCCCTGGTGGATGAAAAGTTCTCATAATCTAGAAGCCAATGACACAACACATTTAGACACACCTTTCAGGTACCACAAGTCTCAACTGGTTGTGCTACAACAGCCTAGCACAGCTGTCCTTTTACAAGCTGTTCTCACAATAACTTCAGCCATACTGATGGAGCTGGTGCAAAGCCTTGTCAGTTCTGTGTGTTAGCCTTATTCCCATGGGGCAGGGAGCCAGGATGCTGGAGAATCCTGACCTGCTGTGAATAAGCTGTCTGCTGATGCTTACAGCCCATTTGTGCCTGCTCAACTCCTCCGGGAATTGTTTGTCTAGTAGTGACTTCCCCAATTATTATTATTATCAATTATATTTCTATACCACCCATAGTCGAAGCTCTCTGGGTGGTTCACAACGTTGAAGTCCCCCATCCAGATTCCAACCAGGCCTGACCCTGCTTAGCTTCCAAGATGAGGCGTGATCAGGCCCTTCAGGCTACATGGAAGCTACTACACATGGCACACTGATGGCACACTGGCTGGAAAAGATGGGATTGTAGTTTAGCACATCTGGAGGGCACCTAGTTGGGGAAGGCTGGTTTAGGTTGTCACCTGGGTTTGTTCTTGGCTTACAAATCCTGCCTTATTTGAACCAGGTTTAGATGAGATGCTTTCTGTGCAAATTGGAGGGAATAAGCTGCATGCATGAGCATGCATCGTACCCGAATCCTGCCTCATAATCCTGTGCAAATGCAGCCACTTGGGTGTTCCACAGTGGAGAACACCTGATCTGGGGTGTTCAGTTCAAAGAGTGGCTATTTTATTAGTAAAAACTAGTTACAGGCCTTGATGGTCACAAATAGCTGTCAATAAATAAGTGCACATCTACACTACAGACCTGAAAATGGTCTGAGACCAAATTAATTGCTATGATATTCAGCATAAAGACCTGTGGGCACGGCACATTGATGAAAATACTAAGATTTCTCTAATTGGCAGTTCTGCTCAGTTCACAAAAAATAATAAAATAAAACTCAGGTGAAGGGATAAAAGTGCTGACTGTTTATTAAGAGTCTGCACTTCTAAAATAATCTCCAAATTCTGTTCCTGTCATACTGTTGCAAGGAAATAGGACAGCAGAGATTTGAATCCTGCTGGCAAAGTTCTGGTGGGCACATAACTGAGCAATTTCCAAGGCATCCTGAACCTGGAAAGGGTTAAAGGAAGTGTGGCTTACCCAATATCTTCATGTAACAGTCGGGCTATGGTCCATGCAATCACAAAAAAGCTGGGAGTGCCTGCAATGTAACAATCAGGCCTTGTTTTCATACATCCTCATTGATATGTCACACAAAAGATGTTACATATCTTTCTTACAAAAGAAGTTTGCTGAATATTTTGACTGACAGTAGCAAATTCAAGGGGTCCTTTGTCAATCAACTTGTAGGAAAAAGAGGGCAACAGCCCCAGACAAAAGGGAGATTCTAGTATAAACAGAGGAACCTTGAGGGCTCCATAAGTACACAATCTTTAAAATTAATGCTACCATCCAAAAGAATCAAAGAGCAAAAACTGCATATGCACAATCACACACTCATGTTTTATTATTTCAGCACCAGGCTGAAGTGCGTTGTTTCTCTCCACCCTCTCAAAGCTAGATAAAGGAGAGAAAGCAAAAAATGGGAAAGAGGTGAGCAATGGATGAGAGAAGACATGGTGGGCAGGAAAGCAGTAAGAAGGGTGAGAGAGCAAAAAGAAGGAAAGATGAAGAAACAAAATGGGGTTAGAGGAGGAAATGAGGAAGCGGCAGCTGGAGGCAGAGTGTAGGAAGAGAAGGGAAGCAAGAGGTGTACAAAAGAAAAAGGGGTAAATTAACCAGGGGAAATCCAGCAGACAAGGGCAGCACAGCAAGCAATGAAGACCCAAGTGAGATACATTGCAACATTTTATTGCAAGGCCTCACTGACTTTGTTTGCAGACAAAACAGATGCTGCTTACCCCATCCCAGAACCACAAACCACCGGAAAAACTTTCTGTCTGAGAAGGAAACAACCAGCAGGGTATGAAGATAAAGCCCTTCCACAAGAAGCCAAATGTAGTTTGCCATGATACAAAAGCTAACGAAGACCATGATCATCTTACATCTGCCCTGAGAAAACAGAAAACAATTATAAATAAGCCATGTTTGATCTTTTTTACTTAGACATATTTGCTGTCACAGGCCTACGTCTCGCCATGCTTCCTTTCTCATCAGCCAATAGCGCACAATCCTGCGTGTCTGCAGACCAAAGGAAGTCCTGTCACTCCCACAGTCTCTCAACCCCCCATCTGGGTGATGACTTGAGAGATGTAGCACATCTTCTGTCAAATAAGCCTAGGATGGCCCCTTAAGGTTCTTCATTTGTAACTATAAAACTGTTGTTAGCCATTCTTGCTGAAGGGATTTTTTTTTCATTTATTGCATTGCTTTCATTACTGTATGTCTGCTAACATTTAACTTTTAGGGTATATTGTATTTGCTTTTTGGAAAATTGTTTTTAACAAAGATGTAAAAGGAAAGAAGATCGATGGTTCTGCAACAAATGGCCCATTTTCAAGTCTTGACAGTGTTGAACTTTCCCGAACCTACTGCAGATTCCCCAGCTTCATTCAGTCACAGGGTTCTGTAAGGGCACCTTGTCCAACCCTGTGTGCTTGGTGCTGGGAATCCAGAGCAACAGCATATACAGGAGATGCCCTTCCAGTCTCTGCTTGGAAACCTCAGTGTTTCCAGCCTTAATATACCCAGTTTCTTCAACCTCTTCTCAAAGGGCTTGTTTTCCATATGCTGCCCACCTTTGCCTGCCTCTAAACCTGTTCCAATTTGTGTATATTGTTCTTATTCACTCCTTTGTAAAACTTCTCTATGACCTAAATAATGAACCCTGATTAATTTCCTGAGCTGGCTAGGGATGGGAGGAGTTGTGGGCTAAAACAGCTGGAGGGGCCCCACACCTGGCGGAGATGGAGAATTAGGTGTTAGAGGATGAGGGTGGGCTGTATCTCTCATGTCAAAGACAAGGAAATAGGAGGGCGGTACGGCACTTTCTCCTCAAATATTCCAGAGAATGTTGGATTCTGCCTCTTCTAGCCCTATTTATCAGCTGAAGGACTACATGTTCTATTTCAGGTCATTGGTTCCAGAGAATGGGCTAGGATGACCAAATGGAGAACAAATTCATACTGTTCTGGATGCAAAGGAAAAGCAGAGTGGGAACCTTTTGTAGGGGCTCTTGCTCACATCACCCCAATCAGTGACATTAGCATGCAAACTAGAAGCTTTACAAAGGAGGTCCTTCCAGGTACAAGGCTGCTGCTATAATACTAGTGCCCCTCCTGTGCCAAGCCTACAAGCCCACATGGACTAGCAGGAATGAGAATGCAGACTGGCTGCATGGAGGTTTCACGCACAGATCCAGAGCATTTCCCTCTTCAGACCTGTTTTTGTCGAAAAGCTGAGCTCTGGCAAGGCAGGAAGACAAGCCCATGCAGGTCTCAGCAACAAAACCTACCTGACTTAACATGCACTGCTCTTTTCCCCCAAATGGGCTGCTATTCTCCAAGAGAATGGCTGTGAAATTGTCTTGATAGGCTTTAATCAGCCCATTTTCCCAAACCCATTTCTCTTTCATTTAACCAAGAAGGCAAGGTGAATAACAAAGTGAGTGAATTATGTAAGTCCAGAAGATGTAAGAAAGGCAAGTTCTTTTTGGTGCAAATAAGCTTACAGAGAGAAAAAGGGAAATCAAATTTCTTTCTCAATTCACTTTCTTTCATCCTACAATCAGCTGAATGGTCTTCTCTCTTACCCTGTGCAATTCACAATAGACAGCATCATCTGCGTGTTCGGACAGTACAGGATCTTTAATGAAGTTTGCCATGGCTCGCAAAATGAATGACACAAAGAGCTGCATATGGATATAATTCCTCGTACACCGAAGCCTTCTGCCAGAGACAAAAGCACGGCACCAGTTTTTAAACAGGGACTTGCTCAGTGAGCTATATTCATTGAAAGAAGCTGTGACTGGTCCATCCAGCCTAGCATTCATCTGCTTTGACCACAAGCTGCTTCTCCAAAGTCTCTCAGCGATGCTACTTGCATCCTTGAAGTGGAAATGCAGGGGACTGAACTGGGACTTTGGATGCAAGGTTCTGTCACTGATCTATGGCCCTCAGGGCAACATAAAAAATGTAAGTGCCCCCATTAACCATGATGCAGTTGCTTTACTTGTCACAGGGCAGCACATTAAATTCATAAACACATGAATGAAAAAATCAAATTGTGGAAATAATACCTTTTAAAATAAGCATCATTTTTGCTAGCTTATCCTAGAGGCTCAGGATGGGTTACATTACCTGTAAATTTAGAAAAACTTAAAATTAAATCTAACATAATCTAAACTGGACTTCTCTACTCTACAACTAACTTTCCTCACCCCAGCTATAATATTTTCATTTATCCTTTCACACACACATTCTATCTCAATTGACTCTAGTGAATACTTATTCACTCCAGTACTAAATGCTGTGTTACCACATGTGTTAATCTCCCAGACCTGGTCCAATTAAGGCAACTCACTTTAGATTTGAGAGGATAGTTAGGAAGAAGTGAAACCACTTGTGCCCAAGAGGATATACATTAATTTATATATTATCATCATCATCATACATTGACTGTAGATCATACCATGATGGCACATGGATGTAGAATAAAACAAGCAAAAGGAAACGTATGCTTCCTTTGTCTGGGACCATACGGGTTCCCTGAAAAGGCTAGGAATGCGCTGAGGGGCCCCAGAGTTGCTGAGGTGAACAATCCAGCAATTCCTCTCTCCAAACCAAGAACAAAAGTCAGTGCCTCTTGCCATGGTTTCATGAAGTTCTTCTCTCCCAGTGCTTCAGATTGCTCCCCATTTTCCTGGAAGATGCGGGGGGCATAGTGTCACAGTGTGTATGGGTTCCTGAAGGCCTTTGACCCAGAAGAAAATGGAGAATTAAAAGGCATGATGGGACTGAGTATTTTGCACAGCAAAACTGAAAGACCAAGAGTGGTTGGAGAAACAGATAAGCCGGCCCTGTACCATCCAGAGAGAGGATGAAATGTGAGAGGATAGTTAGGAAGAAGTGAAACCACTTGTGCCCAAGAGGGTATACATGTGTGTGTTCGAGGTAAAGACCAGCACATTCTGCGTGAGCTCTGCTCAGAGGAGCTCACTGTTCGATCCAGTTGGACTAAGCAATAGTATTGACTTTAAGGTATAAAATGCCTCTGCTTTCCAGCTCCTGAGTGTGTCAGAACAAACACTGAACTGGTCACCTGCAGTCCCTTCTGACGATTGATTACTGCTAGAGGGGGTCTAGGCCATGAGTGAGCATTGCATGAATGCGAGTGTGAATGAGGCCTCTTGATACTGTTGCTGATGACTGCTGAACTTATATTCTTATACTTCTGTATTCTTTATATCATTAGAATAAATGCATAGTGTTTAAAACCAGATCTGGCATTCAGTCTCTCTTTGATAAGGGCTCTTCTGGGAAACCTGATAGTCTCCTCTTTACTGAATCAAGGACCACTTTATTCTGATCACAGTATCTGCTTCAGAAAAGGAAACAGTTCTCACAGCAGAAGCAGCCCTTATCTACCCAATGACTGGGTAAGACATCTCTGGGTAAGACATCTCTGGTGCTTTTCTTAATAAGCTGAAGGCAAGGAGGGTTTGGTATGGCTCCAAAAAGGTTTCCTAGCATTTGGACACTGGAAAAGCTGACCACACTCCCTGTTGAAACTTAATAACCTCCTCACCATCCCTTTACCTGAGCATTTCCAATGCACCAGGTTTTCTTTGTACACGGTGACTGAGCCGTAAGTCACACCAGTTTCCAGTATCTTCAAAGGTCCTCTCCTGCTCGGTTGGCTCATTGTGAGAGTGGTGGTCCCTCATAGCTCCAGCTATACTTTATCGCCCACTCATAAAATTGGCTAGAGGGCACATTTTTGGGATGCCATTGTGCAATCCTTGGTGATGAATTATTTTCCCCCTTCCCCCACATAACTGAATGGGAAGGCTTTCAAACTATCCCACAAAACTATTCATTTCATTTAATGAGTGCAGAAGTGTTCATGTAGGTTATTAAATCATTAACCAGGGAATGGAAACACCTGCAAAAAATGGTGCAAGCAAGGTTTTCTCACCTGAATGAAGCCAGGATGCCAAAGGCAATTGTCAGCGCCACCATGGACATGCTGGTTCCAACAGTGTACACAATTTCCAGCTTCATCAGATAAGATGCCTGAATGAGAGATCCAGAAATGCTCCATGTAGGCAAAGCTGCATTCATGCCAGGAATCCACCCAAGTCACAGCCTTTTCAAAAAGCGAGCAACACGCTTTTTGCAGAACATGTTGTGCCATGCGATGCACTAAAGCTGACAATACTACCATGAATTAATCTGTTCTTTTTCTAGAAGCAGAAGGAGGAGGAATTTCCAGGTAGACTTAGGACACAATCTTATGCATGCTAAGACAGAAATAAGCCCTTTGGCTCCCAGCATTCCACCAACAAATATCTCTAATTATGCAGAGGATCTCACCCTTAGGTTTGTTTTAAATATACAGAGGGTGTGATGAAGAAATAAACATGCACTGTAGGACTTGTCGATGCCACAGTTAAGTGGGTTGCCAGTGCCTGTGTGTGAAATGCTGGTATAGTAGGAATCTGTGGTCTGGGAACATGCTGGGCTGCCTTCTTAACATTGCAATCTTGGCTACATAGGACCAATTTAAATGCAATGGCAGACAGGTGAAGAATGGGCTGCTAGGCTCTAATTTTAAAGATCGCAGGCATGGGTAACTTATAACCCCCCAAATGCTTTGGCCAACATCCCCCATCAGCTCTAGCTAGGACAGCCAATGATGAGGGATCTTCGGAGTTCTAGGCCAAAACATCTGGAAGGCCGCAAGTTGCTCCCCCTTGATCTATTTGGAGGTGTTCTTTGACTGGGTGATACTCTGTTTTGTCACTAGGTGTTGCTGTTTACAACACTTTTTGCTACATTGCTCAGTACTGCTGTGGTGAAACTGTTTGCCCCAGACCCTAATAACCAATTGTGGGAAAACAAGCACGCATAAGGTAAACCGACATTTTAAGCATGATGGAAGTGACTTGAACAGTCTCTCCCCTCAAACAAAATATATTTACTTGGGGTATTGAGAGTCTTCCTTTCTTTGCCAAAGGCACACCCAAAACCACATACAGAATTTAAAAATGCTAAATGAAAGATAACCAAAAAATGCTAAAATACAATAAGGCACCACAATAAAATATGGAAGGAACACGGCTAGGAAACACACCAGCTCCAGTTTTGAAATGCCAGCTGAAATGGAGGTCTTCAAAATGTCCCTTTGAAAGCAGGCAAAGAAACAAGGTGGGAACGAGAGAGGCAGGGACAACAAAAGGACCTATGCCAAGATTATGGGCTGGAACTGCAGTGGCTACTAGAACAGATTCTGTAGCCATTATGGTGCCCTAAGTCCAAGCAGATATGGATTATTTAGGGCATAATCCTATGTATGTTTAATCAGGAAAAAACCCTACATGCCAGCAGGATGATGCTGGGGGCTTTTGGACTCTGTCTAAACATACATAGGATCACATCCTTCATCTTAAAACACTTTGCAAACTGGCTAAAACAGACTTTCAAGGCCTCAGGTCCATCTTTCTCTTGACTCAGCTTGTAAAAGGCCTTTAAGCACATGGAAAAGCTCTCCTGGGCACTGTTGAACACATGCATGAGGTAGCAGGAAACCGCACAGATCCAAGGATGGAACATCTTAATGGGTCTCTCACCTCTGAGAAGTTCTGGCCAGACTCAGCTCCAGCCTTTCCCAACATAGCACCTGCCAGTCAACATGCGACTTGTAGTCCAGTATGTCTAGAGGATACTAGGTTGGGAAAATGCTTCTGAATTCACGTCATGCCTGTGAAACCCCTTCTGCCACACCTAGGAATGTTCCATCTGACTTTAGCCATACTGATCATGTGGACTCACCTTAGGTTCCCACTCAAGTATAGAAGCAAACATTTCTTCTGCATTTAAGCCACAGGCAATATATGGTCTGGGGTATTTTTCTGACCAGCCCTCCCTTGTGCAGTTCCGATATATGAGTCCTGCATTGCAAGTACAGCAATATATTAAGTCACAAAGTCAATTATTGAAGCAAGCCCTGAGAAAACAATTGCTTCATGCTCAACAGTTATTTAAGCACGTTGTTAGCTAGAGCAAGGATTTGGTTGCATTCACAACTAATCATAATATACGGTTAAATTATTTACCTGCTCGTGGAAGATAATTCAAGACAATGTAAATGTCCGTGCCTTTTTGAGAGCTAAAGACTGCTATTACTATTCTGGAAAGATAAACACCCACCTACTATAGCACAATGGATTTAGAACCTAATTACTCTTTCAATATTTAAGCGGATGGCATTCAGACACTGCCTGCAAATGGATAAATATAGGGATATTTGGACTGCCTTTTTAAAAGTTTATGTATAACTATGTTTAGTGATAGCTGCAGTTTCATGCACTCATATATATTCATCCATTTTCATCACAGACCACTCCATGGCATTCTTCAATGACAGGATTAAACTTAATTGATGACTTGGCATGAAGTAACATGGGGAAGATGATGAAAAATGAGGGACGAGATTGTTTGTGGTTATACTTCAAAAGAGAGTAAAAGCAGATCCTGAGATATGATAAAGATAGGCATTCAGTTCATGCATAGCTATTAGGCATGATTTCTTCTATGTCTTGTTAATCATCTCCTCACTTTTTAAATTGTTCTGTTTTATTGACTTCAAGATATTAATTAAAATTATAGTTACGATAAGCACTTTATGTATTTATTAAATGTATAAACTGCACCAATAATCCCATATAGGACTCTCTGGATGGTAAATAATTAAAACATTTAAAAATACATAACTACTGTGAATATATAAATGAAATGATGATTAGCACGAGGGTGATCCCGCTTCACTTCAGGGGCGATCACAATATCTCTAAGAGGCCCACTTCTGTTTGGTATTCAGGTTTGATCCAAAGCAGAGAATGTGCACCAAAGAAAACAATTTGCATGTGCCCAGCTGTGTTGTTTCAGCTGTGTTGTTATCAGTTCCAAGGTTTGGAGTGTACTATTACCAACAAGTGGATGGCAGCAACAGCAACAGAAGAGCCAGGTGGGCCAGAAGAGTCGGGAACACCAGAGCAGGAACCGAGTGGCCAGCTTTGCAATAGCTGACATGGCTTAGATGATACAGCAGAACTTGTCTGGGGCCATTTCCTAGATTCCTATTAGAGATTCTGATCGTGAGAATACATAACAGAATCATAGAATCGTAGAGTTGGGAGGGGCCATGAAGGCCCTCGGGTCCAAACCCCTGCTATTGCAGGACTACAGTCCAAACCATGTTACGGTAAGGAATCAGCTTCCAGTCCCAAACAGTGTACAGATAAAATTTGGCTTCTAACAGTGCCTCTTGAGAGTAGAGATATACACATTTTCTTAGATTTGTTCTGTCTTCATAGATTTTCAGGTGTCTTTCATTCCATCTTCTAGTCACTGATGGAATCAGAGTCTTTGCATGAAAATTTTACTTATTTGTGAATGCAGATTTGCACTGAGGTACATTAGCACTAACACACACTTGTGCAAGTGCAACTTTGCACAGATTTTCCTCCTCAACAGGGCCTGCAGTCTGTAGAATATGTGCAGCTCAGAAGAAGCCAGTCCACTGCAGCATCCACAAGCTAGATTTGCAAAAATCCAACTTCCTCTGACTGCCTTGCAGACATCTTGACATTCCTCCCAGACAATAATCCATCACATTCTTAGTCTTACCTGTTTGCCCAGTTATCAGCTGGAAGGCTTGGGGGCAGGGAACGCTAACAGTGTGCCCAACAGGGGAAGACAGCCAGCAGGTGATGTTATCCCACATTCCAAGGCACTTCCCTAAGATTCCAGAACAAAAAAAACACCATTGGAAACATCACCACAAAGAAATGTTGGAAGATCCTGATTCTGGTTCTGCAGCTTTTTTTCAGACTAGTGCCTTCCCAGTGTGTTTGGCTAGAACTCCTTTAATGCCCAGGCTGTATGCATGTACTGGTTGGGGATTGTGGGGACAGTAGTCCAACACATTTGCTATATGAAAGAAGTATCTGGCTGAGGTTGGGGTTATGGCACGGGTCCATCTTAATCCATTTCCTAAGCAGTGACACCAAGCCAGCAAAGCAGGGTAGATCTCATTGGAAATTATGATTTAAATTGCGATTTAAATCACTAGTTAATAAGACTGGATTTAAATCAAGGTTTTCTACATAATTTGTATGCATGCATGCCTTACCCATAGGTAGAGGAAGGTCATTAAAATATTCCCAGACTGGGTCTCTTTTATGTCCTGCTGCCATTCTAGGTTTTCTCCTCCGGGGAAAGCATAATAGGATAAACAGGCCATAAAGAGGTAACAGGTTGATTCTGTGTGCATAGATTTGCAAAGGAACAATGGGATTCAGGTCTTTTTCTCAACTCTGTATGTTTATAACATGTTTACTGTGAAGAAGAGGCATATGATCTCTGCAGACATGAATTCACAATTTTGAGAACTGTAAAACAAAGCATCTCTGATAATATATTCAAGATAGAAAAATTGCCCAATAATCTTTCAGAACCTCCTGAAGAGCATGACATTGTGAATGGGTTAATGGAATTCATTTACCAAAAATGTAAACATTGCATGAATATACAGCCCAATGCTACATCATTAAAAACTAATCCTTATTTCACGATGAACAACCTTAATGTATCTTAAATAGAAAACTATCTTTAGATAGATTTTCCCTCAAAAAGCATTTTATTTTAAAAAACAATTTAAATAAAAAATCCATTTTTATCATTGATTTTTACTCACCCTGCAGCAGAGCAAATTGCCAAGACTGAAACAGTGCTTTCGGGCATCAAGCTTTTCCCCTTGGGGAAGTTCTTTACCCACTCAACTTATTATGCTGCTTCCCAGGCATATTTTGAAAGTGATGCTAATATCACAGCAGCATCTCAGCAGAGATTTCTGCCTTGACATGAATTCCCAGGATGTCCCACAATGTACTCCAAAAGAAAATCCCACTACCAAAGGCACAGAAAAAGAGACCATCAGTAACCACTGTTTTTGCTTATTCTGATTCCAGTCCCACAATCACTGAGAAATGTAACAAAAATAGTGGAGTCATTCACAAAGGTATAGAATTGCACTGTGAGTCGCAGGTCTGCTCAGAAGTAAGCTCCATTGAGTTCAATGGGCCTATTCTTTGGTAAAATGCTATAGTATTGCTGCCAAAGTGTGAACACGGAGCAGACGGATTCTCTTGTTCCAGAGGTTAGGACTAGAACCTATTTGTGGGGATTTCAAGAAAGCAAATTTTGGCTAAACACTGAAAGAAAATCCCTGAAAAGTGAAACAGACTGCTTGAGGAGATGTTTGGCTGTCCTCCACTGAAAATATTTAAGCCGAGGCTGGATGCTCTTCTGACAGAGTTGTTGTAGCTGTATTATAAATTCAGCAGGGGGCTGGCCTAGATAAACTCTGGAGTCCCTTCCAGCTCTATAGTTCTATTGCGACCTTTTGCAGACATGACATTTATCGGCTGTTAATTCTACAGCTGGGATGAACAATGTGGGACCCACCAAGTAGAACACAAGCTGCTAACAGTGTGCAGCTGCTAAGCAAATGGCTCTATAGTTCCTTGCAGACAGAAGGTTGATCAAGGCCCTGGTGGGCCACTAGAGAGGATGCAAACCTGGAATCTAGAACAACTGTAGCATTTGTCATTCTGACAACCCTAGCTTAATTTATTTCCTGTAGGCACGGTTCAAGTCCTCTTTCTCCATGTGTTATATCTACGGCAGAAATAACTGAGAATGTTTTCTGGGAAAGTGTACCATTTCTCTGTGTAGACTTGAATGTTGGCAGCAATTGTAATAAAACAGTTAAAACTCCCAGATTTGTGCCAGCAATCGCAACAGTTGGAAAATCAAATGATGCCCCCCTCCCCCGCCCCACCCTGGGAGCGTATCAGCAGCTTTTTCCACAGTGGCAGCTTTCTGTTCATGGCAAAGCAGTTGTCAGAGAAGGCCAGAAAAGAAAAGGGGGAAGGGGGAGTAATTTGGCAATGTGATAATGAAGGTGGTAATCTGTGCAAAGCCTGAAGAAACTGCCTGTCCTATTCAGGCCAAATTCATCTGGGCAGCTTCCTTGCCACAATCAGGGGCTCCAGCAGCCACAAGGGGGGAAAAAACCTGCCATGATATGCGGAGCTCCTATTCTTCTCTCCCCAGGGCCATAGGTTTTCACCAGCTGATGGAAAAATACAAAGGGCTCCCTTTTATTTGCTCTGTGACTGGCTCTCGCAACACATAACCCATCAGGAGTGACAAGCCATGATGCTTTGCCATGTTGTGAGAACCCAGATCAATTTCTGCAGTGTGAATTGTTCACAGATAACAAGCCACCTAGGTTACCAATGGGCTGTTGTAGGTGTTGTTATACCCATGTCAGGTGTTGTGTTACCAGATCCTAACCTTCTGAATTGGCAGTACACATCCCCCATTAACTAACCCCAGTGGGCAAGGATCATGCAGTTCAAGAGCCTTTGTGCAAGAAAATCTGGCAAGTTTGCTAGGGAAACAAAGGACAGATGAGCTTGTGGTGTTTGCTATTTTACACCCCATGCCTTTGGTATGCATATCTGAGTGACTCTGAAAATAGCCACATACGGAGATCAAGCATCGTGGGGGGCAGAGAGAAACCACACAGGGCCATTAATGTCAACATTTCCCACAGGCCCAGTGGCTGGAATTTGGGCAGCTATAACTGGAATTCAACTCACTGATAAATTGGGAGACCAAGGCCACTCTTGTTTATATAAGATGCTACTACACTAATCAAACATCATAAATTAGGACTGGGGGGAGCAAATTATATTCCTCTTTCCTCAATGATCATCTGGACTTTCCTTCCCAGAAGGCAGACTCTTCCTAACCCCAATATGCACCCATATTAATTTACCAGGCCATCTGCAGATATAGTAAAAAAAGAAACATAAATCATGCATGCCACAAATTTTCTGATCACATGAGATTAGATTACAGCAGCTCAGTGAGGGAAGTGTGTGTGCCTTCTGTTTTCAGACATTACTGCAGAAGCACAAAACAGGTGATTCACAGCAGCTGGAGTAGGCTGGAACTGCCTGAATGTTTCCAGCACAGACAAGTCTTTTGGAGTCCACCGAACATGAGATGGTGCACTAGCAACTATGGTCAGGCAGGGGCAGGGGCACATATGCAAGCAGGAACGGTGGGGGTTACACAACTTGTCCGGCTTGTCATCTGGGCCCTGTCCTTATATTCCATGGTATTTCAGTGTGGTACGTTTGGTTTTGAGAAACCACAAACAGAATGAATGGTCTCTTCTATAATAAAGCAAATGATGGGTATTGTTTTGCTTTTTATCGCATCCTGCTGCCAGGAAGGGACAGAGTTGAAAACCCACCAGCACCACATCTATTCTTCCCCTCTGGTCATAAGTCTTCAAGTTGATCTGTCCCACTCCCCTGGAAAAAGGAGAGGGAGGCACTTTTAATGAAGGTAGCTAGGGTAGTTTCTCCCCCTTCTGTGTTTAAAGGCTTCTGTTGCTCTTTTACTGTGTTTGGATTGTTAAGAATTATATATGGACACTGACAGGTGTCTCTCTGACTGAAGCAATATGTAGTTTATCCTCATCTATAAATCTGCCCCCAATAAAGTTCTACAAGAAGTTCTGTGTATCACTCGTCATGTTAAGGTCTGGCCTTCACCGATTAAAAAGCACTGTCAAGGACTATCTGAGGAACACCTATTTTACTAATTTCAAGAAATCAATTCACTGAAGTGGAGGCAGCAAGAATCTTCTGGATGGCAGTGACGAGGGAGATGCAGCACTGCTTATTCCCAAGGCAGTGCCCATCAAGTGGGTTGCGGGCATCTTTCTGGCAAGCCAGGGTGAAAAAAGGGAGCAGTGGGGGAATCTGCTGAGGCAGACAGCCTCCAAACAAGCACAGGAGGGGCTTCACTCTGGTGTGCAAGAAAGGAGCAGTTTCAAACCTAAATCTAGATTTATCTCTCTCTCTCTCTCTCTCTCTCTCTCTCTCTCTCTCCTGGAAGACAGAGAGGAAAGAAAAGGGTGGATGAGAGGAGAGTTGCCACAATAAACCTGGTTGTCTTTTGGGCACAGCCATGCCAAAAAAAATGTGCACAGTGGAAAACACGCAAGATTGCTTTTCATGATGTGTGAACCCAGACAGGTGCCTGGTAATTGTGTACTCAACAGTTATACTTGCTAAGCAAGTAGAAAGGGGAAAAATGTGACCTGTTAATTCTAGGCTAGCAAAATGTGATTGAGGACTACTGTGCCTTTATTTAAAAGCTTCATCCTTGTAGATTTTGCACATTTTACTCCTTCCTGATCTGTATGCTTGTGGAATTAATGATAAATTGCCCTTCTGAACTAATACTGCTGACCCCGTTTGTCATGAGACGAGGTTCCTCCTTTGAGCAGGCAAAAGCCACAGACTGTTTTCTTTGGAAAGCATTCTTTATTGCTCCCAAGTACAGATCACCTAAAACTCTGAGCATGCACACAGCAGTGTGTTGCATCTAATCTAATGGTTACTTCTAGGAACTCTGCTGAGGAACACGGCTGGACCCCAACCCCTCACAAGGGGCTCTCTGAAGCACGCCTTCTCTCTGCACACTGCAGCAGGGGTTGATAGTGGGAAGAAGGGGCTGGTCTGGGTCTGAGAATTCCTCATCCTCAGGACCCCTCCTGCTGGCTGTACAGCTTGGCTGGAACTGCCAGGCTCAGCAAAGCACCTGACTGCCTCCTCTTCCTTCTTCGCAGAATCTTGACTTGGTCCATCCTCCCCAATCTCACTGAAATATTCTTCACTTTCTGATTCTGAATCAGCATCTGGAATGCAGCCAACAGACCATGGGAATGACTGCTCAAGCTTCTTACTCCCAACACTATGACCACCAGCTCTGGCTTAATTTTTTAATGTTTCTGTTTCTTCCCCTAACCTAGCCTGATGAAGAGTTCTAGAGAACTTGAAAGCTTGCGCAATCTTTTATGGCATTCCATTTAGTTGGTATTACCTAATCAGAGAGGGAGGGATGCATTATCAACCTAGTCCAGTTTTGAGGGTTTGATTGTTTGCTAATAGACCAGCACTGTTTCTTTGTTCTCAGTTCTTTAACTTACCAGTTCATTCTTTCTTATTTTGCTATGCAATAAAAGGAAAAAAGATAACAGAAACCATTAACTAAAGCACCTTGCAAAATGGGGAATAAATTTTACTAAGGGTGCTTCAAGACGCGGTGATTCCTGTCCCTGCAGTATCAATTAGAAGGGATGGTACAGCAAACCTTGCAGAAACCTCACCCTGCTCTGGTGAGGGATGGCAAACATCTGCAGACTGAATCAGGCTCACAGGCCAGAGGTTTTTGCTATTCCTGATGCAAATAGCAGAATAAGTGTTAGAAAAAACAAAAATATGAGGTTGAGGTCCACAAATGTGCATGCACACATGCACACACATACCCCGTCATATGCTAACTGACATATGCTTTAGTCTGCATGGGTCTGCACGTGTGCATGCACACCTGTGAGTGTGCCTCTAAAGGACTGTGACTTCTAAGGATCCTCCAATTGTAAAAAAAAGGGATGGGTAGGCAGGGGAGGGGAGAACATTTGATTTCGGGGGGGGGGGAGTTGGCAGAAAGAGTATAGGATCAGCCAGAGGGGAAGCACATCTTGGGAAAAACAGTTAATCCAGGGGAATCCAATGCCGCAGAAATCAAGATTCCTCCACCTTGACAGCAGCTGGGTGGTAGATGACCTCCCAGTTATGCAGGTCTCTAAATGAACAATTCAGAGCCCAAGCTCTAACACCACCCCTGGGAACCAGGCAAATTTGCCAGGCATAAACAAAGGCTTATATTGAGCAAATACAAAGGGGTCTGATGACCGCAGGGACTGAAACATGTCACATCCTCTTTTCAGAAGGTAAAGAGTAAAGGTTGTACCTGAACTCTCGAGCATTTCATTGTCCGCTGTCCTGTTTGCTTCTTCCTGGGAAAGGGCCAAGATGCAGCGCTCTTCTTCTGCCCTCAGGCTTTTCTTGATTTCACATGATGAAATGAGGGCTCCGGTCTGCTATTTTGGATAGCAATTACTTGTTTATCAGTAAACTGCTAAACATATTACATAACATCTACATAAAAGTTTTTTGGGGGAGATGATGTGATAAATGAATACTTAAAGCACTGTATTTTGAAAGGGAGCTGTGTTTGATATTTGTTCTTGTGAGCTGATTTTGAGTGCATATACATGAGAAAAGGGGTGGGGAAAACCTGTGGCCCTCCAGATCATCCTTGATCACCACTGGCCAAGCTGGCTGGAGCTGATGAGAATTGGGCACCAACAACTCCCAGGACATGTTTTCAGTACCAGGGTTCAGCTCTTGTACAGGTGAGGCGATCACAAAGAAGAGACTCTCAAAGTCGCTTCCCTTACTTCTAAGCAGCTGCAACCCGCCCTTATAGTTCTGGGATGAAGGAAGAGAGCTGAGACTCTCGAGCAGTCTGCTTGGGAGTCCCACAGAGCTGTCAAGCATTGATGAGGGTCTGTGAGGGTTTTGTGCATTCTTCACAAGTTTGGCCTGACCTGCACAAAGGTCCAGGAAACCATTTGCACTCAGCCTGCAAATTTTGAGTTCCACCAGTGGAACTCACCCACCATTCTAGCCTGCTAAGCAGAGGGCCTCTTCATTTTGTGAGAGGAACAGACAAACCACTCAGAGATCTGGAGTGTCTCTGGTAGGCTAGTGTTCAGCTCCATGGGTTGTAGTTTATGCAGAGCTGATTTATGCAGCTGGCATGCAGCTTGCACTAGTGTTGGTGGAAGATGCCCCAAATCAGCTTCACTTAGACAAAAGTGCCAGGTTGCATGGCACACGAGTCGTTTTCTTCTACTGAAAACAACCCATGCAAGAATTAGGGGACTTTCATGCAGGAGGTGACTAAAGACTGATTAAGCATGTACACAACCGGATCTGGGTACAGCTGAAAGTACGCTGGGGTTTTGTCCAGCATTGCACGATGTCCTGGTTACCATTAGTGGAGATGTGGTTTGAATTGCTTACTCAAATTATGAGCCATCTGCTCCTTTATCGAAAGCTTTTAACCTAATGTACATTTTAACATGTGTTCATACATCAGGTTATGCCAAAGTAACCTGACCGCGTCTTGAAATATGGGGAAGGTTTGCTGTCCTGTCTCTTCCTTGATAATATTTTAAGTTCTCCAAACAGGCAGGTTCCTGCACCTTGCAATTTGAACAAGCTGGGACAGGATATACAAGAATAAAATAAGAAGGAAAATCCTACACAACTGGCAATGGAAGGCACATAGGAGAGGCAACAAGCTCTCCCCATATTCATAAGAGGAGCCCGGCTGGAGCAGGGCAAAGGCGTATCTATTCTCTCTTCACACAGTGGCTGACCAGCCCATGGTAGTGAATTCCATGGCTGAACTTTGCACTGTGTGAAGAAGGACTTCCTTATCTCCATCCTCAAGCAGCTTCATTAGGTAATGCTAGTTCATTGGATGTTCTAATGCTGTTAGAGTGAGAGGAACACTTCCTACCATCCACTCTCTCCACACAGTGTATCATGTTATGCACCTCTGGGCATTATCCTATGGGGATATGGGGTATGTATACCCTTGCTATTCCCCTCCATCCCACCAGTTCCCTTCTGCAAGTGGAGGTCCAGGCAATTCTGTTACACACGCAAAACCACCACTTATGCAAAGGAGATTTAGTACCTCCCAGAGGAAGTCCTGAACTGAGTGAAAATGTTAATTTCTGGAAGGAGGCAGTCAGCTGAGCTCCCTTATGTGGGCTCCATCAACCTGCCTCTTTCCAGCAACAAGCATCTCTGCTCAATTTGCATTGCTCCCAGAAATGCTAAATCAGTTGGAACCGCTTGCATAATAGCAGTGGAGCACAGGAAAATAGGTGAAATACTGCCATATGCCTCTCCCATCTTTTTCCTAAGCTAATAAGCCCCAAACATTAAGGAAGTTGCTCCAGACCCTTAACCATTTGGCTGCCCTTTTCTGCTCCTTTCCCAGCCTCTACAATATCCCTTTAGCAGTGTGATAAGTAGAACAATAAACAGCATTCCAAGCACAGTGGTACCACAGATTTGTATAAGGGCAGTATGATGTTGGCGGTTTTTTCTTCAGTTCCTTTTCTAATTATGTCTTTGACAAGCCTTCCTATTCTGCTTTATTTTAAAACTTAGACGTATTCCATCACTCCGGAAAAGAGCTAATACTCACACCTTGCCTTGCTGGGTATGTAAACATGTAAGAAAATGTAAACGGTGCATAATGTTTCCAGAAGTTATTTAAGGTTTGAACAAGTGTATACATCTCTCATTCTAAATACTAGGGGGGGTGTATAAACATAGTACAAGTGATATGCCTGAAAAAGGTATGAAGATGAACTCTTGTTCTGCTTAACACAGTCAACAAACCCTAAGAGTGGAAACAGGCATGATTAGAAACATCATCTTCCCATAATTCATCACTGGGGCAGCTATAGCCAGGCACTGTAGGTGCTGCTGGGGAACAGGAAGCATTGTGGGTATTCTGGTAGGCATGGATCAGTGTCTAAAAGATTTAGGAAAGAGCTGGTTTTGTTGCATTGGAAATCCCAGGGAGACAACTTAGAAATTCCTAATCCACCTTTCTCAGAACTACATGGGATGTCTTCTCATGAATACCAAGTGATGAACAACTGAAAATGCTAAATGATAAGCCATTAAAATTTTGACAAATAGGTACAACACAGTAGTTGTATTGAAGGGAAAAGACAAAAGGGAAAATAAGTTCTGGGTAACTGGTATTCAAAAACCAATTGTCAAGATGAGCTAGGTGGTATTGAAAGAGAAAATGAACTGAACTGAAGCTCCATCACTTGCTTCAACGAGTGATTTGAGTAATGAACAGGTGTGAGACTGTATTATTCCATAACAAAGTTTGCTTAAAATTGCTGCTTATCAATTAACGAGCAAAAAAATTGTGTAAGGGATACACATAAAAAGCTGGTTGTGCCAATGTCAGGAAATATTAATACTTTATAATGTTTACAAATCTGGGTAAGAAGTTATCTGACGAAAGGTATGATTCAGAATGGATCTTAGCCCCATGCATCTGTGCGACACAAAGCCCTCCCCACTGCAGGCTTTTGTGTTCAGAGCTGTAGTGTGGCTCCATGTCCAGGGCTGGTCTACTCTATGCTACCCTGATCCTTCTTGTGGGAAAAGTCTCACCACTTGTAATAATCCCTGAACAGTGTTATACATAAGCCTTTGGGGTGGGGGTATGATTCAGTCTTTTAGGGCTGTATAGTATTAACAACTCTGGATATAGGTTGATGACCTCTGGGATCTGTGGACCCAGATCTATGGATTAACCATGGGCTGTTAGGCACAAACAATCCAGGAAGAGAACTCATGCTTTGTTACTAGATTGTAAATGCTAGGTTGTTTCACTATGGCTTCACTATGAACCCAGACCATGGTTGCTTCATCAGGCTACAAAGGTGGTGATAGAATAAAATGGCTATCCCAGTTGTACAGTGCCACAGAGACACTGGGAGACAGGGAGGGAGCAAAGAAAGGAGGAGGGAATCGAAACAACTGGTTTTGACTATCTCCATTTTTATAGCCACTGACAACCCCTCCAAAGTACCCAGGTGCAAAAACATTGCATAAATACATAAGTATTTTAATTTTTAAGCTGTTCTTGCACAATAATGGATGTGAACAGTTGTGCAAGTGTGAGAATTTTCAGCCTTGGCTGGAGCAACGTGCTGGGGGTACCTAAGCCTTACTTAGAGGCTCCAAGTAAGTTCTTTCCCCTTTTGCTTTCTATTTAGAGCCTCTTTGGGGCAATGTCCAGGGTTGGTGCATGCTGTACCTTGGGAGTGGGTATCCCCAAGGTTTCAAAATCTTGCACTTGCACAAATACAAATATCTGCAGTTTGTTTGTTTTTTAAATGCATAGCTATTTGCAGACAGGTTGTGTGCACAGAAAAGATAACGGAGAAGGAGAAGACGACATCTGAGTCACTGATAGCCCTTCTGAGATGTTGCTTGGACACTGTAAAAGTCAAGCCAGCTTTTGGGATCTCTGTGGGCAGAGGGGGAACTTAAAGTGTAATAAAACTGCAGGGAGCTGAAAATGGCTCTCAGCGGCAAGGAGGATAGCAAGCTGGTGCCAGCCATCCCCAGCTGCTGCTTGGTCACTCGTGGCACAGCTGGTCCAGGCAGCAGCCAGGGCAAGCTCAGGAAGAGCAACGTGGGATTTTTGCCACTCTTCCTCAGCAGCTGGCCACTAGGCCATGTTCATGCCAGGATTGGTCATCTGGGTTTGGACAACACGGCAACCCACTATGGGTAAACCAAACCCTAGAACAAATTCTCATTTCTTATTTCAAATGAACCAGGTCACTGGTTGATTCCATGTTAGCTTTACAATATTCTCTAACAACACAATTACATCCTGTCCCAATCTCAAGCAAGCGTTTTATAAATCTGCCAAGTTGAGGTTAACACTTCATGCACCCGTGAAGCAGACAATGACCATGAAGCTTATGCCAAAATCGATGTGAGTCTTGGAGGTACCACAAAATTCTTCCTTGCTGTTGGTTACTTACAGTTAAGGCTGTAGATAAGGGGACAATGATCAAGACGGTCCACATGGTTAGCCGCTGCTTGTTTTTCTCATCCCTGGCCCTTGATCAGCAGTTGCTTCAGAGTCCTCTTGCCTGTTCTTCACCAGGTCCTTGCCATTCACCTTTCCTCTCCCTTAGTCCTCTCATTTCTTGATTCTCTCATCTTGTTTTTATATCTCTTCTTGAATGCAGCAGGACGCAGCAGGATGCTTAACTGCACTTAAAGCTACAGGCACCTTTATGCTTCACATTCCAGATATTTCCATGTCTCTCTTCCATTACTCATTGTTATCACTGCCCGTAGGTGAATAAAGATCAATCATTTATGTTCCCATGGATAAGGGAACAAAGGAAGGTTCTCACATAGGATGCTGTTTCAGGAAAGCAAAGATAAATCTGTCCAAAGGAAGGGGCAAGCAGTAATTGCTGAGCAGCCTTGGAAGGAGGTGGGTGGGCAGAGAGACTAACTCCCAGATGGAAAGCAGGAGCCTTACATACGGTGATTCAGCCTCACCAAAGCTCCACTGTGAACATTTGCCTAGAATGTGCATCCCAAGGGAGCGCTGGGGAGCCTGAAGAACAGAGGGAAATGAACGGAGATAGTCTCCAGGTCGAGCGAAGTGGACTCCAGGGCAAGCACTGCAGCTTCAGTGGGAGATCACCGAGCAGCAACGACAGTGCACACCCACATGGATAGTGCTGCAACTAACATGCCACCTATGTCAGCAATTCTATGGATCCATATGCAACAGCATACGCATGAGCTGCAACACGGGCAGTCCAAGCCAATCCATGTGGACTCAAAAGTAGCCCATTCTTGGATTCCACTGGACTTGCTCCAAAGTAAGTTTCATTTTATTTATTTTAGGAACTACGACCTGCCATTCTAGCAGGCACCCTCAAAGTGATTTGCAGTAATTAGGCTTGTAATAAATAATACCAGCATTCCAAATCCTCCTGACTTGGACACACAGAATATCCTTGAATGTGAAACTGAGCACAGTCCTCAGCCTGCTCCCTCCCTCATCATTTCTTGCTCCCAATTTTCACCTCTTGTGTTTGGTACATGACACATCCTTTTCATTGCAAGAGAAACAGCTGCCACTAAGCTCATTTTCAAAAAGCTCACTCTTGTCCAGGATATTACACTCCAGAAATGCTTGTCCTTACATATTTGATCTACCACCAATGCTGGGGAAAACTACAAATGGAAAATAATAGCAACAGTAATAATAACAGACAAATGTAACATTCCTTATCCTAAAAATGCTACTGGTTCATATTAGTGATACTTTGATTAATCCAATAAAGGGTTTTTTCACACTCACTGGATTCTTTTCTTTTTTTTTTAGTTTTAGTTTTTGGTGGGATTGAATATGCTGGGAGAGTCAAACTACGTTGCTAGCAAACTACTGCATTCCAGCGCTTACTCTTTTGTCTCCCCGTGTCTAAAGATCTGGTTCCTGGCAACTTTTCTGCCTTTCAAGATTATTGCAGGCTGGCACCAGCGTGCCACATCTGGATTGGCAAAGTACTTTTGATCCACCTGATGCAGAATTTGGTCTAGTTCGTGAAGCCCTACTCTTTTTCACATTACATTTCTTGAGTCACATTGCCACTATTAGCTGTCCTGCACCCAGGAAACCTGTTCAAAATGGTTAAAATTCAATAGATCAGCCATGGAGGCGGGGGGGGGGGGCACACAAAGCATTTGAGTTTACTCTCCTCCCACCTTCCCATTCTCTGTCAGACAACTGATCCGCAGAATTTCAACCTGGTTTGGCCATTGGCACCTCCACAATGACTTTTTAGAGGCTGCTGATGGCATTTCTCAGCCCAGGAGAGAGTTAACTTTGGAGGGCTTTGGAGGGCTTTAGCTTGACTGACTCTAGTAACCCGCTACCTCGCCGTGTAATCCAGGGTATGCAGGTGCTTACTGTGGTTACTTAATGGTAAGAAGTGGACAATCTGCACATGGTCGGATGCAGCAGGAGTATTAGTATTTATTACATCATAGAGCAAGTCTGATTCTGTTATTCAAAATAGATTCCAGAATCTAACCTTGACTTAAATGAAGTCCTCCAAACAAAGCTATTAGCATAACACACTAGTATTAGTGAAAGTCTCATTAAGTGATATACAGAACTGAATTGATTGCAAGACTTATCTTCCCGCTCTGGAAGTGTGCAAGGTCCCTTTTGATTGATCCATGGAAGGAAGGTTCAAGTTAGATGCAGCAGTTAAAGCAGAGAAACATTGTTTCAAAAAAGAAAAAGAAGAAATCAAATCTTTTTTAAAAAAATCTACCGTAAAATATGGAATATATGGCATGATAGTTTAAACATTTGAAATTAAATATTCTTCGAGTGCAATCCCATGCATGTTTAAACAGAAAAATGCAACACGCGACGCTGGGTGTTGTAAAACTTTTTGTTTGCTTGCCTAAACATACTCAGGGTTGCGCCTTTAGCAGCTTAAAATGTATAGGCAAGCCGTTGTTCCACTAGCCCGGCTCTGTTTACTTATGCAGTTAGTATTAAATTTTTGATGCATCATTCCATGTTTATGTCCTTGTATTGTTGTTTAAATAGAACGTTGATCTGTGAATACATGACATGTATTAAACATTTTAAAAGCTTAGAAGAAATCCATTTCCATCACGTCTGCCATCCTAAGAACACTTCACCCGTCTGGTCTCTCTTTCTAAATCTTCTAAGCACCCCCGCTAATTAATGGTACCGTCTCGCCTATATTATTCAACCTCTCAATAACCCAACGCTTCTTAAAGAAGGCAGTATGTCTAGGTCGATGTAAAAATGAACGAGCAAACTTTACGAATGTATGTACACAAATATACACAGAGAGCGAAACAGTAGTGCGAAGAATGAATAGTGCGACGCTTCAGGACTAACAGTCCAAACTTTGCAGGTTCCCATGCCTTTTCTTTCCTCGCCTCCCCCCGTTGAGGTGCAGCGAATGGCACGATCCAAAGCATGCTTTGTGCCTTGGAAGTCGGAGTTGACGGCGAGCGTAGCAACCGCGGTAGAGGCGACGCTGTTGCAGGTTGCGGGGGGTGGGCGAGTGGCAGCCTTGGCGGGCTAGTTGCCACCCGCCGCTCCCCCGCCCATGCGCCCGTCCCTCTCCGCGCGTCGGCTTGCCTAGGGCTGTGTGGACGACTCGCACGCACGGTAGGTTGGCCGGGGAGCTAAAAGTTAAAATAGAAAGGGGTGTGTGTACTTCTGTGATGCTGTAGCCTGCGCCCCCACCCCCGAAATTTCTCTGCCCCTCCCCCTTTCCTTTTTTTCCCCTTTTTTTTGCAAAAAAAATTAAGCAATTTACAGGGATCCCCCCCCCTCAAAAAAAAGACCTCAAACCGGATGAGCTGCTTTCCCCCATAATTTTCTGTGGGGCACCTGACCCACTTTGGTCTAGGACTGACTTCGAAGCTGATCCCTTCCCCCCTCCACCTAGCTGATAGTAGGAGGTGAGAACAGATTGATTCCTCCTGTGTTACTTATTTTTCATTAAGTATCTGTAAAAGCAGTTTCATACCCAAAGGTGTATGAAAGGTTGAACCCTAGGTCTGACTTCTGGGGATAAATCTCAACACAAACCCTCCCTGGAGTAAGTCCATTTAAATGAATGGGACGTAATAAAGTTATGAGTCTGGGCATTCATTGATGAGCCCTGGAGTAAAACCAGCAGTGTGGTACTCAAGAGATCTAAATTCTAGTTCTTAATGAACCATAAAGCTCACTGAGTAATTCAGGAGCAATCACTGGCTCATACCCTAACCTAACCTACTTCAGAGGGTCGCCATTATGAAGATAAAGTGGAGAGGAGAAAGTAAGCCACTTTGTGTTCCTTATAGGGAAAAAAGGCAGGGTAGTCCCTTGAAATGAACAGAATTAAGTCAGTCAAATTATTCATTTCAGTGTGTCTATGTTATGTAGGATTTTATGTTAGATTTTACTCCAAGGCCCCAGAATGGAGCAAGTGATAGAACCTGCAGCAGAGATGCCTGGCATCAGCACTTGGACTGATGTGGGCATGCTTGGATAGGCCAAGGCTGACACGGCTCACCACAGCATCCTTTCTTAATTTTTAAAACTATGTTGTGCTCACTGGTGGACAGCCAGGCACACATGTGATTACAGGGGCTCATTTTATTCTGTAAAATGTATTTTAGAAATATAATAATAATAATAATAATAATTTGTTTATTAGCCTGAGGGCTGCATAACCAAGCTTGGCTATATTCCCCTAACACTATGATTTAAGTGGGTTAAAATGTTAAACAGCATACTTGGAGTATGCAGGTTTTGATTTGATTTGTTGTTGCTCCAAGAATGTAGAGAAAAGGGTGGCACTGGGAGAGAAAAAAGCTAGTCGTGTATTTCACAATTGGAAGTGATGCAATAGCCATCTGCTCTCACGCTTCCCAGCCCTAGGTAAGACCATTTGGTCCAGGATCTAAAATTATGTGGCTGCACCACTGCTTCTAATTGTCCCTGCAGCTCAGTACTGTTTATTTTTACTGGCAGTATCTCTTGAGCTTCTTAAAGGTCTTTCCCATTACCTATTGCTACCTAACACTTTTAATTGGAGATGCAGTGAATTGAATAGGGACATTTGGCATGCAAAGTGTATGCTCTGCCATTTGGCCATGGTCCTCATCCCCACTCCCAAATTTATGTAAGAGGGAATTCCTATTATTATCAATTGCAAACACATTTTCCCAGTTCAAAAGATTTAAGCAACCTTCTTGTCACCTATTCATGCAGTTTTTTAAAAGATACACAAACAGTTTTTGGACTTCTCACATGTACCTTCTTGGTAGGAATGTTGGTAGTACTTACTGGTAATATACATGTCTGCTACAGACAGCAAATTATACAGATTAGGTGGTAAGATATAGTGTCATATGTGGAACAGGCAGCAAGTGTTTGTGGTACATTTCAGTAGTGGTGTGTGTGTGGGGAGGGGGGGGACAGGTTGTAGCCCTGGCATACTTGTGTGTCTTTCAG